TGTATGTGCTACATACATATTTGTAATATGTATGTAGCACAGATTGACAACAACAGCTCACCCAATTGAAGAATGATGCTTTACCTTCTGAGAAGTATCCTTCCAAATTACTACTTGGTCTTCAATTTAATTTTTACTTACTTTGTTTCAATAAAAAATGTTTCCCTCTTTTTCCTTTGTCCAAGTGAGGTTTGTATATAATTGTTGAATCTTTTAAATCCATTTTAAAAAGGACATTGAAATATCCTCCATGGGAGAATTGCAAGTGTGTATATGCAATTCTGTGTTACGGATCAGCAGGAATATAGGCCAAGATAATTTTTTCTCTTCAGCTGATTTGAACACCCAGAACAGGTGCTGTGTTCTCTTTGCAGTCCTTCTGCAAGAGTATGGCACAGGAGGATGGGCTGAAATGTGGAGTAACAAGTTAGAAAAGTTTGAGGAAGTACAGAAAGATGATAACCATAATTTGTTTCTTTACAACTGTTAAAACTTAAATTTTTTTAGAACAGTGAAAAGATGATATATCGTTCATGAGATCTTATAGGCTTCAGTCTTGCCTCTTTTTGTTTACTTGTCGAGTTGTGAAGTTGAAAGGATGGAAAGTTTGTCTACCAGCTAGATTCTTGGTTTTAGCTGTGGAATTTTTCCCCCTGTATTTCTAATAAAGCAGGTCAGTGTACATGTGCAGGTAAACCAGAGATAAGCAGCTATGCCTATAATTAAGATAAAACTGCTGTTAGAAGATTTGTGACTTTCTATGTGATGGAAATGGGGCTGTTTATTTTTTAAAAGACAGAGTATTGTAACATGATACAAGATCATAGTAATTAGTAGGCATGATTGCCAAGAGGATTAGTAAACATGTAGCATAAAAAAATCTACGTTCATTTGTTTGTCAGAGAGATGTGCTTTTATGAAAGTTTTTGAAAATACTTGCTAAGCACAGAGAGATTTAGTCTGGATAAGCTTGTGAAACTTCAAATAGAAATCGGAACTTAGTGAATCTTGTTCACTCCTTCACCAACAGTACCTTCCCTGAGGTGCTCAACACCTACTTTATATGTCTTGTTCAAAGAATCATAGAATGGTTTGGAAGGAACGTTAAAGATCATCTAGTTCCCAACTCCTCTGCCATGGACAGGGACAGTTTCCACTTGACCAGGTTGCTCACAGCCCTGTCCAACCTGGCCTGGAACACTTCCAGGGCATCCACAGCTTCTCTGAGCAACCTGTGCCAAAGTCTGACCACCATTATTTTTTTCTCAGTACAGAATATCTTGTTAGGATCTAATCTTACTCAACTCTCTTTCAGTTTAAAGCCATTCTTCCTTGTCCCATCTCTACCTGTCCATATGCAAAGTCCCTCTCCAGCTCTTTTGCAGACCCCCTGTAGGTCCTGGTAGGATGCTCTAAGGTCTCCCTGGCTTCTTTGAGGCTGAACAATTCCAACTCTCTCAGCCTGTCCTCACTGGAGATGTGCCCGTTGTGTCCATTGCTACAGTAAGATTGCCCAAGATGGGCATATATGTGAAATAATGAAATAAATCAATCAAGAGCAATTGGTAGTGTCACTAAGATTTTCATACTTGGATCACTGCATTATCATTTGCAAATGTTGAGGAAAACAGAAGATGCATCATTGTTATGTGTTGAGATCAATTTCTTAAATGAATGCCTGAAGAAGTTGCAAATTGAGGTAATACTTTAGAATGTCCTGTTTTTTAATTAGAATATTTGTTACTTCTCAGTAATTACAGCTTTTACAAGAGAAAATGTTCTGTATGATACATAAATTATTAAGTGTAATAGAAGCAATAAAGCTCTGAGAAGAAATTTGGATTAAAAATAATATTATTTCCAAAGAAAGTTTTATTTGTCAGTTTGCTGATTGTGTGCCTGGAGTCTTCTGTAGCCAAACTTTGCTTTTATTTGGGCATTTAGTGTATGGACCAGTGATCCAATATGTATTAAGCTTTGATTACCTTTTTTTGGATTCCTGTTGGATCAATAGCTGAAATAGGTTGTTTTGATTCTTTCAGATAAAACCACCAAGTTCAAAATAAAGTGGTGTTTTTACTCCTAGGAATAAAATCATGTTTAAGCCCACCATTTCCCTCACTTGAAGTAGGTGGAGCTTGCTGCTGGAACAGGTAGTATTTTCTTTTTCCATAATCTGCAAGCTCCTGTGGCCTAGGCTTTGAAACAAATAACTGTTTTCATGGGCTAGACCCAGGCATCAATCTGACTTTAAAATAACACCACCAATAGAAAAGTTCTCAGTCAGAGCAGTTCCCTTATGCAGTTTGACACTTGGAAAAGTGAACATAAAGCACCAGAGCAAGGTCATGCAGGTATCCGCCTTTAGGGCAGTACTCCTATTTGTGGGAGCAGGCAATATTCATATCAGGTTACCATGATTTTGAGCCAGAGCATGAAATACTGGCATTGCTATATAGTCAGAGGGAAACTGGATTGAAAAACAAGGCAGAAATTAAGGCTTTGCAGACCTGAGTACTGACATGCATAAATTTTAAGCATGTCTTTAAAATTCCATGTTTGCAGCATGTTATTTTCTACTTGTAGTAGCATAGAGTCCTTAAGATAATATTGAAATATGTGTCTGAGAATTTAGCAAATATTTTTCTGAGCGTCTCAAGCGAAATATTAAGCAGTAGTACCTGAGACAGTGAGAATTTCTTGAGAGCCAAGAATCTCAACATGCTCTCTAAGTACTGACAGTGATCAAAACTGAAATTATATTTGAGAGTTACATTATCTGGAGATTTCTGTGATTGTGTATGATTGATTGTGACTGACTACAATTTAGTATACATACAATGTGTGTAATATGGCCTGGAAGCTGTTTCTTTTCTGAAAATTGACTTTGCAGAAATACTGCTTTATTACTGGTGTTTACAACCTGACTGTATTCACAAGTATGTTTCTTAATAGTGATAACATACACTTCAAAAAAAGAGATAGATTATTAAACTTCAAATACAGGGATAATCAGTTGTGTCACTACAAGTTCTATCAAAAAAACTGACTTGTGTATTTCCCACATGAATGCATAGTTTGAATGCCACTGGACTGCTGAAGGATCAGTAAGACCAAAATATTCAAACAGTGAGGTAGGACAGAAATATTTTGTCTTGCATGTGGGTACATTACAAAATAATTCTGCTTCTTTCTGTCATTTTAAAATGACTTTGTAGGTCTGGCTATTAGACTGTCTTTTTCTCCCTATATTTAATTATTAATCATTTGAAAATTATAAAAAACATGGAGCCCGGGTTTAGAGCTGCTTCTCAAGGAGGAGTGCAGAATATTTTTAGAACAGTCTACTAAAAATTAAATTATTGTATCAACCTTTCTCTTAATCTTACTTTCTTTGACAAGTTCGTCTGTTGAAACAAAACATTTTCACACATACACACATGGAGCAATGATTTCAAAAGAACTAGAGACAGAGAAATACAGAAAGAGAAATACACAGTCAATAGTCTTTTGTCCTTATAGAAGGCTGGTTAAAATGTCCTAGATAAGCTATTAAGTAGTAAGGCTCCCTATAAAACATTTTTTTTTTTCCAAATAGAAAGTGTTTGACCTCTTCTAGACACATTAATTTTTGATGTTTCATTTCTACACGTCTAATTTAATCTCCTAATTACAACTGAGGCCATACAATTTTGACTGCAGTAGTCTCACCAATCTTTTGTTTAAGAATGTTGTTTGAAAAGCTGAAGAAAAGTGAGCCCAGATCTTTGACTACTCAGTATGAATGTGTCTTTGCTTCTAATTGCTGAAATCTGTAATCTATTCTTAAAAAGGTTTTGGAAAGCCAGTTTGTGTTTCTATATGAGAACAGTTATCTCTAAGTGGACAGCCACTGCAGACATCTTACAAGTTATGTTTGGGTTCAGATGCCTCTCTGAAAAATAAAGTACATATGTTGGTTTTCTTAGTTGTTAAAAGAAACCATAATATTAGTTAAATTCTGTGTTCCGTAGTTAGACAGATGGAGAATTTTACGAATACGGTATTAAATGACAGGAATGATGAGCAACTTGGGAGATTTCATTGATGAGATGCTGCATTCCTATTTCAACATAATGGGAGAAGTTACCTATATGATTGCTTTTCCTTCTAGGAATCAGTTTGGGTTTGGTTTCTTCATTTCTGAAAAAATGTTGATCCTTACATTTTCTTCAAGATAATGATTCCACAGAGGAATTTGCCTCATTATGGTCTAAAAAGAGTTTTCAGATAGCAGTAGCATATTTTCTATTATAGGTTTGACAGTGCCACAGAAGGATGTGAGAATTTAGAACATTTACAGTTTTGGGCTACCAAGTTTACATTTAAATCAGCTGAATGGGAAATATACCAGAAACTCCTGACAAGGCTCTCATAATATTTGAACCTAATGCTATATTATACTTTTGTAACTCTGGAATTATAATTATGCTCTTCTCTTCTTCAGTTCCCACAGATATGGTAGCTTTACACTGGATCATATTACGGAGGCCTATTACTATCAACAGCTGCCCTCTATATTAAGAAGCAATATAGAAAAATATTACTCTGTTCTCTTCTGGAACTATCAGAAAACTGAAGTAGTTCTGGCAGAGTTGTTTGAAGTCTGCCTGCTGAAGTTACAATGATTTCCTTGAGTTAAAGTTCCCCTTCTTCTATGATTTAGGAGCTGAAATTCTCTATATTTTAATTTTTTCTTCTGAGGTTGGGTAGTACCACCAATTTCAATACCCAAAGATTGTTGCTAAAGTTGTAGAAGACTGAAAATGATAGCAGTGAAGTCCCAATAGTAGTTTCAACTCTTACCATAGAAAAATACTTGGATATGTTTGACTTTATGAATTATCACTTTTACAGTTACAGTTCCTTTATGGTGAATGTGGCAATTGTAAATAGTAAATAAAAAATTGTAAATCAGAACCTTTTCCATAGATTGAAACTGAGTCCTTCTGTCTTTGAAGGTTACAGACAGCAGATCAGACCTGGAAGATTTACACCTTTATGCAACTCCGCGGGAGCAACGGTTTCGTAGGTTTGCTAGTCTGGAATTTGAAGGACAGCTGTACATGACTCCACACGACTTCATCCAGGCTGTTACCAGTGATGAACCCAAACGTAAGCAGGAGCTTTGTAATGCTAGAACTGCCAGGGAAAATGGGAAAATGTCTGTGGTTTATAGTTTTTTCCCATTTGCTTTTGATTCCTGCTTCTGTTTCTGGTTGTAGTAGAAAGCTACTGCATCTTCAGAATTTTAATTGTGTCCAAGTGCATACAAAGAGTGTCCTGATTGTAACTAGATTGTAAACATCTGTATGCTAGTTAAACATTCTTGTCTGAAATGTTGCAAACAGCTCAATAGTCATGAAAGATGGCAAGTTAATTTCTGCCATTTGCACTGACACAGTTTCTTTCTGAGCAGGCCTGCATTGCTGTACAACTCGTGCTTCCTCTTTTGTGGAGTTTCTCTGTAACCCGGCAACATACACATTTTCTAAAAGGCTAAAATGAGATATAACTGCATCATATTTAGAAATATGATAAATAACATGATAAATAACATGCTTTGAGTCAGAGTTATAGTCCCCCGGGGGATCAACTTTTTACACTTAAACATTGCCAGTGTTAGTACTATATGTTAATTAATGTAAAATTAACTATCAACTTTAGGTCATTTGTTGTAAAATCTTTGCTTTAATTATCAAAGAGTGACTAAATAGTAAGGTGATCCCTTTTTGCTCTAGTTTGATTTCCTGGCCCTCAGGCTTGCAGTGCATTGGTAGCAGCACAGAACTTCTGGAGAATGGGAATATCTTTGCTCAGGTGTGACATGTATAATCACCCACCTTAAGTTTTCTTACAGTTCTGTGCAGATGTTGGATTTTTCCCTTTTGTTCTGTTAACAGTAATGAAACAAGAGTAAAGAATTCAGTCATGGCACATCAGTGATCAAAACTTCTGTAACTTTTGAATAAAGATATAATCTCATTGTAACAGTGAAGACAGAAGATAGAGCTTAGATGGTGAAAACTTGCAAAACTTTGAAACTCTTACCAGAAAGCAATTTTTTTTTTTTTGCTTTGCAGTTAAAAGAGAGGAAGCAGATTGCTTATCACACAAGTTAATACAAATACATATCAGCACTTTTTATCTATTTCCTCTGCTCACAACTTCAATTCGTCCCTTTTTTGTTAGTGTGGAGTTGGGTTTCACTGTGTATGGTCATGAAACATTTGTGCTATATATACTGGACATCATTAAAACATTGTGGTTTAACTCTGTTTTATGATAGTTTTATTGGCTAGACCATACTATATGTATGGTTTGCTATTAATATTTTTCCATGCTGGTGAATTTTCTGCTTCCTCCTCTCACAAAGCAAGTATTTAGATTTTAAAAAGAAAATCAAACCAAAAATCATTAAGCTCATAAGGACATTCTGTGTGTCTCATGGAAAAGGAGAAGAGATCTGGAGTTGCACAGTCAGGCACCCTTCTGAATTCAGTGTCGCAAACATTGTTTCTATCAAAATCCTTTCTGTTCATCCAGTTCACCTCTGAGACCAAAAGCAAAACTAACCTGGGTGTCTTTTAGGTTTTGTGGTATCAGAGATTACATGGCTGACATAACTATTTTAAAGGATTACAATTAAGTAGAAGTAGATCACTTCATTCTCGTGCAGGTCATGTGGTCTGGGAAATTGAGACAGAAGGCTGATAAATAGGAAGTAATAGCTGAAATAGATGACCCACAGATTGCCACATCCAGCTTCTCATCTCTGACTATGGTAATTTTAACCTTTGTACTGCAGCATTGCCAAAGTACCATTTCTCTTCTTGGGCAGGTCAATTTTCTGTCTTGCTCTGATGAAAGTAGTACTTTTAAGGAAAGATTTTTTCTAATGATGCATTCTAAACATTTTATTTTTTACTTTTGGGATAGTTTTATAAATAACTTGCAAGTTGTATATGATTGGGTCCATTCAGGCAGACATACTATACCATCTATATTTTGCATAATAAAAAAAGAATGTATACCTGGGGTTTTTATGAATGAAGACTAGAAAGGTCTTGAGTTTTGTCAAAAAGCAAAAATTCCCTTTGAAGTACAATTATAGAAGCTCTTTATGTCTGCTTTATAGAAAAGCTAATAATGTTAGGCCTGAATGATATTTGTGATGGAGTGAGTGTGTCTATTGTGATTGATTAACTTTAGAAATCATGTAAACCCTACAAAAGTCAAGAGGGTGTTCACTTCCTTTTTTTGATTAAACACTAACTAATATGGCAAGAGTGTGTTTTCTTTTATAAAATGTAACTTTTTACTCCAGACATTTATTGCAAAAAAAATTAACTTGTTATTATGACTTGCTGTCATTAACTTGTTTCCACCTTTATGGTGCAGGCTTTCATTTGGGAACATACATTATTTTTAAGAGTCATTATTGATACATTTTTATAATCTGAATATATGCTAAATATTGAGAAAGCAAATTAAGAGAAGATGAAATATATTTTTCCCCTTTGTGCTAACTATAGTAAATTTAGCTTGATACTGAGATGTAAGAAAAATCTGTTAGCTCATGCTACGATGTTGCATGATATAACTTCACCATAGTTAGAGTGAGATTTGTCAACAGTCTTGGTGTAAACCTTTACCAAGATATAAAATTAAAATTTCAGTCAATTTCTAACCATGAATTGATGGAAGACCATAGTAGGTAGCTTGTGTATTGTTTTAATTATTTAATGGTGCATGAAGTTCATTATGAGTAAAGGATTTCTAATACCAATGTGTCTTTTGCTCTACAAAAGGAAGCCTTTACCTACCAAACTTTGTTATGGAGTTGACCACATAAAATGCTAATTTATGGACCTTTGTGAATTCTAATATTCACAATGCCTTATCATAATATTGAATCTGTACAAATATTTGTCTTGAGAATGTGGTGATGAGCCTTAAGTTTTGAATTCTTGAATGGTTATGGGCAACTCTTGTTCAGTTACAGCTACCAAAGAACTGAGCCTGACAGAGGCTGGAAAAGGAATGTGAGGTAGTAGGAAGGGATGAAGGGTGTCTTAGCACTTGGTGTAGTTTCAAAGGCTTTTTTTCTGTATTTGCTTTAAAAAGTATCAGTGGTCCATGAAGCAAGAATTGTAATCCAGGTCTCCTTACAATTTGCATTTTAATACTACTGCTGCTAAATAATAATTTCAGAATATTGTTACCAGGGATTAGCATGAATGCCCTCTGTTTCCTGTTAAATGTTTTAAATCCTTAAAATATAGCCATATTTTGGAGGTTGAAGGTCTTTTCCTTCATTGAAGCAGAGTTGGATTAAAAACTACATCTGAATTGGTTCTTTGAAGTTAGGACTTTAGGTATGTATTAAGTTAAAGGGTTTTTGTAATATCATAAAGACAATTACACTCATAAAGTAAGGCAAATAATTCTTTGTGTAGAAAACACAGTATAGATGTAGCCCAATTTTTATGGCACAACATTGGCATAATTAAATTCCTGTGCATTCATAACAACTTCTTTTTTTGCAGATGCTAAAAAATGGCGATCACTTTCAAAGCAGGTGAGCAACAATTCCTGTGTGGTCTTATAACCATTATAACCATAAATTCAACTACATTTTGGTAGTTGAATTTTTTGATGTAAATGTAGAGGTGCAGGATACATTAAAGGAACTTTAATTTTTTAATTTTTGTCCCTTCAACCTCAGCTGAATCCAGAATTTCAAATACTTTAGCTGCAGTGCCTGTTTTGGTGAATTTACTGATTTAATCATCTGTCAGTTTCTCCCTCGGTCTATACCTGACTGCATTTCTTAGTGTCTAGATGTAATAAGTGTATCCAAATCTGCCTGAAATATTTATGCCACTCTCTCCCTTTTGTGGTGTTTAAGGGCCTCTTTTTTCTTTTTTTTTTTCTTTTTTTCATTTGTATAAGTTCAAAAAGCCCCTGTCTGTTTCCCTGCATTTTAAGTAAAGTACATTCGTATTCACGGGTGAAGTTTTCTTTAGTTCAGGTCGAGTGTTTTAAAACAGTTGCTCAGATTTTGTATGAAAACCTTACTGAAATCCAGGGGGACTTATCCTTGGCTTCAGTCAGTATGACCAGTGGTGAGTTATTTCAGCCAGAAATACATTGCATGTCTCTCTCCAGCTCAGCAAAAACTTAGCATTCATGCAGATGAGTAATTCTTGCAATAATCATGTGTGCAAAAATTTATGGAGTGCTTGAGTACTTCCAAAATCATTGTGGTAACTGAAGTTCAAGTCTCTGGTAGATTTGCATGCAGTTTCTTGTCTTTTGTATTGATATCCTAGAATTTAATCATTATCTATTAACTACTTAGTTAAATACTGAAATATGTGCTTTTAAATTTCTTAAACCTTATTTTTTAGGAACTGAATCAGATCCTTATGGAGACACCACCGGTTTGGAAAGGATCATCCAAACTTTTCCGTAATCTTAATGAGAAAGGTGAAGAATTTATTTTCCTTAACCAAATTACCATTCTATTAACTTTTTTGTGATGATGTTCTTTAATCTGAGTCCAATTTTCAAAAATAAAGAAATTGCATTCTGCATTTTACAGCATGGAAAAGTTCCATGTAATCTCTACAGTGTTTTAATGATGCCAGCTTCTAACTAACCTCTTTAAGTGATTGGGGACTCATAGTTTGTTAAGCAAATGTTTGAATATTTCAGGTTCAGTTTGTTGCCATGAATGATATTTGGACTATAGACAGACTATAGACTTCTTTACTTCAGTAAAGAAGCAGTATCTTTTTACTTCTTTTCAATAGGTTCAATAATGTGATTATTTCTAAAGACAGTAGTGCTATCTTATATCACTGGAAAAGCATTTTGTACACAGCACAGAGACAGTTTCAGAAATGTTATATATTCCTTTAAATTCTGCAGATGAGGCTTTGATAGCTTTTAAAACTCACACCATCGGTAAGTGAAGAGCCAAGAGTCGCTGTCCGTCTCCTCGGTTGTATTTTTTTCTTTCTTAATAAGCTCTATCACTTCACAACAAAAAAACATAGGGAAATAAAACAATTATGGCTTTACAGACATTTAAAAGCTATTTATAATAAATAATCTACATATTTCTTTGCTTATATTGAGAGTGGCAAAGGTGTGGTGGTGCATTTGAAATATTTTCAAAAGCAAACACAAGTACTTGTTATAAAAGGACACTTTATGGGTGTTTAAAATAAGCACTCCAGCAGCAGAATTCCAATCAAACATATGCTTGTAATTGGTTAATTTAACTCAAATGCAGCTCAGATTTATTCAAGGAGTAAGTAGTGTGGACATACTCTCAAAGGAGGCTCTCTAGTGCATGGAGGCACTCTTTTTTCCTGAGTCTACAGCCAACACTCACAGAGAGGCAGAAATTGGCACATCTTTGCATTGTATTTCAGTGTACTTCTTTGCTCTAGGCTGCTTTCTATATAGTTGATTTCTGAAATATTAGTTGCATAAATATATTAATTGCAGTATGCAGCTGACTTTTGATATATTAATTGCATTAAAATTCAACCTCAGAATCTGTTAGATCAGTACAGTATCAGTTAAAAATGTAGCTAGATGTTGCTTATTAAGGCTGTAATAAAATGTCTGCAACATGAGTAGTCTTGATTCAACAGTATCTTATTGCAGTTTTTTGCCAGTGGAGTTCTGCAAAAGTTGATGGAATTCATAGGACTCAAACTGTCAAAATAAGATGGTAACATTAGTATTAGACTTTAGTACTTGGATATCTTTTCAGCATGTTTTATGAAAAAGTGAGTTCTATTGCCCAGTTTTATAAAAGTATAAGAAAATATGATGGGTCTTATGACTGATAGTGTAAATTGGTTAAAGAAATTATAACAGAATTCAGGTCTCCGTAGTTATAATGTAGTCTTTACTTTTTTTGTTTCTTAACAATTTTTTTTAACATGCACATACAAAGCAATTAGCAAAAGACTATGTGCATTTATTTTGCCATGGATTTATGTAATTCAGCTGAGGCACTCTGATTTATGCCCACTGACCTTAAGCTTTTATTATGTTTTTCCCTTGAGTGCCTTCCTTCTCTTCTTTTGATCCTAGTGTAAGTTTTTCTTTCCCTTCAATCATCATTTCAGAGCCTCTCTCCCATAACACTCAGAGCAATCAACCAGAACTATCTGTCTGCCAGTACAAACAAAAGGAGAGAAGGCTTTCAGGGCTGTTTCTATTGCTTTCTTCATACCTGTGATGGACTACTTGACAATTGCACATTCTTCCTGTTTTAAAGCAAGGAAGGTGCCATCAAAAAACAAAATAAATATATATTTACATTTATTGACTGGCTATTAAACAATGTTTTCCATCAGTGAATGAGAACCTTTGAGGTATCTGATTTCTTGATAGGTGCTTGTCCAAACAGATTCAAGCAGGCCTTTGAAAACTTAATTTCTGCAGGCTGCTGTATAAAATCAAGAAGATAAAACATAGAGCATGTGTTACTTAAATGCCTATATTTAATCATTACTAATCTTCAATAATGTGTAAATTGAGGAGAAGTGTAGGTAGTGTTAAAAAATCATAGTAGTTTTCCTAACTGTATCTACTAGCAATAATAAAATACTGGTTCTGAAGACTTAAATTTGCTCTTGGATCAAAAGATGGGATGTGAAGTATAGTGGAAGTAAAATCCACATGAATGATACGTTGCTTTTAGTTTTAATTGTACAAGTTTTTCAGTGCAAAAAAAATCAGATGACTGCTTACCTAGTTTGTCACGTTTTCAGTTAAGTCAGATTTTAAAATAAGATATTTAAACATCCAAAGATGTGGCTGTTTTTGGAAAATCTTTTGCACCTGACTTGGACTGAAATCAAGGAGACAGCCAGCAACTTTTGAAAATCCTAGCTGATAGACATCTTTACTCTCAGGCAACTAAATACTTCTCTTTTCACTCTTTTGAAATAATCTGAGATTGTGGACTGACTTAACACTTCTGGTTTTGGAGGACAGACAAAACCAATTTGCTAGAAACCAGGAACAATTTTTCCCTAGTTCAGCCTCAAAGGTCATTGGAGCTAAAGGCTCTTGGGAGAGCTGCAAGCTGTTGTTTTCTGTTCTTGTTGAGCTAAGAGATGCTTCTCTTCATTGCTGCTCTGGACATTCTGCAAGGTTGTCTCTTTACCCCTTGCTCCAGACCCAGAAAGCATGAGTATGACTTATGGTACAAGACATACTCTTTGGGTATTAACTTCAGCTCTAATTTAAATTTTGCCTTAATCACTTCTGAAGAGAAAAGGAAGTGCCATTCCACAGTGTGGTTCCCTTTTGTAATCTTGCAAAAAGAAAAAAACTATGAGATCAAGTTTTCAGTTAATACAGCACATGTATTAAAAAAACACTTCATAAAGTCAAGACCTGTATTCAAATGGTGTGATCAGGAGGAAGCATGTTGAGAATCTTCTCAAAGTAAATGTTTTCATAGTGTTCAATTATGAATTACTGGTGGGGTTTTTGGAAAGAAAATTGAATACATAATTTATATTAGCTTTTAACAGTCTATCCAGATTCTGTTTAATGCGCCGTGCTCCACTGAAGGTCAATTTACTTGCCATGTTTAATGTACTCTTCCCCTAAAGTACAAGCCCAAACAAAAACCCCCAAGCCATAGATGAATATTGTAGACCAATAATTTATTGACCAAAAATAGTTACATGCATGAATATGCATATGCACGTGTACAAAAATTCTCCTTATATATAGATTTAATGTTTTCAAGTTTAGGATGTGAAGACAAGGTAAAACTAACATGACATCTCTTTTTTTGTTTGTTTGTTTGTTTTTGTCTTCAGGTGTGATATCTTACACAGAATATTTATTCCTCTTATGTATTTTAACAAGTAAGTATTTTTGGAGATAAAGGATTCCTTACAATATCAAAGCTCTGGATGTGTTGTTGTGTGTTAAATTACACTTCCCATCCCTGCATATAGAAAAACTACACCATGCATCTCTATGTCACTCTGAACATCTTTTGCCTTCTGAAACCTTGTGTTACGCATTATTTAAATGCATTATTATCCAGAATACCTTTTAGTGGCTGTTGGTGAAGCTGTGCCATAAGCTCCAGCTAAACCCCACTTAAGAGCTTAAATTTATTTTCTTGCTTGAAATTCCTGCAAAATTTGTAGCTAAATTTCCTGAATTAATACAAGGAGAACAGAAAGATACACATTTTTGCTGGTTTGTTTCATCAATTAGTGCATAATGGGCAAAATCAAAGAGTCAGTGGTAAAATATAAAGTATTTCTTTCAGAAACACTGACAAAATTGAAAAATTATTCTTTTATCTCCCATAAAAATTGAAGTAAAATAACCTAAACTGAGCCTGATACAGACTTTATAAATATTTTAATAGGTGTTTTCTGGCAAGAAGCAAAGAATTTTACTTGTCTTTCACTTACATGTAATTAAATAATTTCTATTGGATTGATTAGTGGAGTTTTTTTGGAGATGAACTGGATTCCTGTTATGAATCAGAGCTGGAACTTGACCCTGCACCCTTAGTATCTTCCACTATGGCGTCAATGATTCTTCCATCATTTCTTTGTTTTCTGAATTAACTTTTGGCCGTAATTCATTCATAGTACAAATCAGTGGGTATCCCCAAAATGTTGCCTAAAGGCTTTACTTACAGTTACCTTCAAAGTCTCCATGTTTCAGAAATAAGTTCTAACCTGATCTCAAATTTCAATGGCTCTAAGCATGTAAACAAGAAAATGTTGAGTTTCTTCCAGCATAACATTTACTTTGACCAGAAGTAGTGTCCTGTACCTTTTTTCTAAATCTTTTAAAATGTCTTTTAGAACATTGTGTTTTCATAGAAAATTTATTTTCTGCATATTTCTGTTTGTAATATAAAATGGACTCTATCCATGAACTAACACTCTTTTATATTATTCTTGAATATTTCATGTTCTATTTCTACTTATGTGAGCATGCCTTCTGTTTGAATAAAATGGGTTGTACTGTTTTACATTGCATTTAATATGTACACAGACATCCTGATTTAAATTAGTTGAGGTTCTGGCTTTTATGAAGGAACACCTAATAATTTCTTAGAGTATTATACTTGCTTTCTTTCCAAGAAAATAACTAATTGAATGTTTGGCATTTTTTTTGACAGAGCCACATGCAGGTTTTCGAATTGCTTTTAACATGTTCGATACTGATGGCAATGAAATGGTGGACAAAAAGGAATTCTTAGTGGTATGTATGTTTGCAGTTTTTGATGTAATCTTGAAACTAATGTGATGATGTCAGTAGTCATGAGAATATAATCTACTATTCTTCACTGAATGTAGTTGTTTATTTGCCTGATTTAGTATAAAGAGTTCTTATAATGTGAACTGAAAATAGAAGCTCCTTCTTAGAGTGCACAAGAGTCTTGTATATAATTATTTTTGAAGCTTAATTCTAGTTTTTCTTCTGGATCTTCTAATTGCTACTGTAAGTCACAGATAGGCTATTAAGGTAATAGAAATGCTTAATTCTCGTTTTTATTCTGGATCTTCTAATTGCTGCTGTAAGTCACAGATAGGCTATTAAGGTAATAGAAATGTTTTAATGGTTAGCAGAGTTATTTAATTGCTCTAATGATCACCTCACTTTGCCATTCATTCTGCTGATAATCACAAGTGACCCGAAAATATTGACTGACCTAATGTGACACCATCATCTGTTTTGGACAAGATCTGTAATGAAATAAAACATACTGTACATATATCTAATTTAGCCCCTAAATCCATATGCTGAAGCAATTTGCTAAGGTGGGGTTCAGTGAGTTCTTTTTACAGAGAATATTCCTGCAGGGGAAACTGACTTGGACCTGAATGATTTCCATGTGCTTTGGAACAGATGGCAGGATACCTAGAACTTGGCAGGAGTTTGGTTGCATCCAAGGTTTTGTTACATTACTAATTTGAATGAAAGTATTTTTCAGATTAGAGCTTTACTCTGTTTATGGCTTGGAAAAAGCAGTTCTCTAAATTCATCTTATTAATTATTTAAGCAGAGTTTATATTTTTTTCAGGTTAGAAATGTAAACAGTTTTAAAAAGCCCAGACTTCAAAAGAAAAATTCACATGATGGTGAGATTTGAAAATGAAGAATAATTTGGCATTTGAGGGAAAATCTTTGAAAATCCTAAATCATCCACTAGATATTCATTTTTATAATGATAAATCTTCAATATTATATTCAATAATAATTCAAATTAAAATTTCAATACTTCATAAGTTTTCAGGTAGTAAAATACACTCAGTTCAGGAGAATGATATTGCAGTAACAAGGGCTATTTTAGATTTATGTTCATTTAATTTATTTTCTGATTTCAAAAAAATGGGAGGAATAATTAATGCCATTCTAAATAAATGATCATTTTAAAAAAAGGAAATGCAGAAAATTGACCACTCAAAGTTAGGGCTTCTGAGTTTATGATAACTGTGTGGCTTTATGCTAAAAATGTGCACCATAAACCAGAGATCTCTAAATTGGTGGTGTCCATTGGCAGCAGCTGTCTGAGATTACACTGAAGCACTCAGTTATGGTGAACATATGTTTTGACATTTCTTTAGAAATTAAAATTTAAAATTTTATGGTCTAGGCAACCTTTCTGAAGACTGAAAAAAGCCTTAATTTTCTACTGAACAAGTACAGATGATTAATGCCATACAACTTTTATAAGAATTGAATCAGATGTTGGAAAAATATATTTGTGTACAAGACATACATTTTATCTCCACACGTTTTTCAGTAGTTGAGCTTTTGAAGAAATACAGTGAGTACACATGAGAAAAAGCCCAGTGTCTTATTGAAAAAGATGGAACAAAATATCAAGGGTGAAACAGACACGTGAAATGTATTTAAGTGTTTGGCCCCAATTTATTTAAAATAAAGACACCCTAATTTCCTGTGTGAGGTTTCTTAATTGATTCAAATAAACTATGCTAACCTTAAGAAAATAGAAATATGGCAGAAACTCTCTTTAACATGCTGAACTTAAATTCCAAATATATTTTGTAAGGTGACACCACTTGCAAATTGTGGCATACTCAACTTTTTTTGTACTCTGCTATTAAATGTACACATCCTTGTAAGGGCTAATTCTTAATAAGCATCTTCTCCAGTTGGAGAAAAACCAGCAACCATTGGTTTAATTAACAAAAGGAAGAAATAGAGGAAGAAGAAGAAAAAGCAAGCATCTTTCTTGATTCAGTGTAACAGAATGTGGTGGATAAACTGACAAATTTGTTCCGATATAAAAAAGAGCTTCCATTACAACAGCTAAATGGGAGGAAATTGAAGTAAGAGGCTTTGTCTTTCAGAAACTGATGATAAAACTGAAATAAAATAAGCGTATAAAGTGGGAAACAAGGGCAATATTTAACTAATATTTCTTTCTAACTATGCCTTTATAGTCCTCTTCACATGCTGCTATGTATTTGTTCTCTGTCATGATCCCTGACTAGTTTCTCCTTATTTTTGTTAGCAGACTTGGTGGATAAAAGAAAGAAAGTAGAATTTTTAAACGTTAGGTATACTGTCACCTACTCATTGTAGGGGATTATTGCACTTAACAAATTTGTATGGCTCAAACTTGAGTGCAACTCTGCTTCATTAGATGTCGGTGATCCTTCAAAAATTAAATCGAAACCCTTAAGTCAGAATATGAGGTCTGAAGTGAAAAAGAATAGACAGGTAGATAGAATTTTGTGTAATGAAAGTATATATGAAAATAGAATTTGATTCAGTGATACTGCAGCTATTATAGAACTGGCCCCAAAACATGCATTCGGCATCTTTACTCACCTTGCTTGAATATAATGTATCATATCCTGTGTGCCTGAAAGGAGACTGTTCAAAAGTTGGCATATGAACTGCTCCAACATTTGCAAAATATTTATCCATCAATTACAAGCAGCTATTGCAAAATTGGTAATAAATGCTATTCAGTTTTATAAATAAAGAGACTTTGAAGAGCTTTGCTTAGGGATCACGTTATGTGATTCTTGAGGAAACAGTGTGTGTAGTGAAGAGTTGAAAAAGGCCTTATTTTTCTGATAACAGCTGTATTGTTTTTGTAAACTAATTTCATGGTGTTTGTGCTTTCCTCTTTGCTTATGTCATAGGGGTGAGATCAGGGAACAGAAGGATTGTGTTGCCTTGTTACTGGAGATCTTGGTTTTGCTGCCTTCAGCAGTCAATCTCATTATCCTGTTTCAAACAATGTTCCTATGAAAGTACTCCTAGACCCTTTTTGCATTCACTTTTTTCCAGTCACTGGTATCCTATAGCACTCTTTCTGAACAAAAGATCCATTTCCAGAAGTTTAGCAAGGCTTTAATAATGCATGCAACAGAATCCTACTTCTTTTGCCTCTGTGGCAGGGGAAATACATTCAAGGATGCCTTGCTTTTTACTGATCTTTTTTGGTTTTTCAGTTACTGCCACTCCTCTCCTGCTTGATGGCTTGTCATTTCACTTTTCACAAGGGATTTTCTTTCTGTTTCTCTCTGTTCATTTAACTTTTTTCTTTGCATTGTTCTGAGTTGCAAACTCTGTAGTACTCTATCCTATCAAGTCTCTTTCCTTGTTGGCCTAAGTTGTAGTAACTTGCACCTGTAGGTTTGCAAAAAAAACTGAAAAGATTTACCAAGGTCTGTAAATTTATCCCATATTCAAAAATAGGTATTGTGATGCACAAAATGTTCTGGTCTGTATTTGCCTGATAGGAGATTCCAGAACTCAGTAGTCAGTTTTGGAAATTCATAAAATGTTGTTTATAAATGTGTTTGCTAATTAATCACTAAACATTGATTTCTTTAATTTCAATGTTGCCATACCCCTGCAGTAAATCTTGCTGATCCCTTTGCCTTCTCTGAAATAAAGATATCCTGAAATTTAGTTTGGAAAATTTCCTTGCAAAATGTATCACACACACTTTTTTGTTTCACATTCCAATCCCTGTGGAGCTCTGTGTACATGCCTTTATATTATCAGGTTTTACCAGACTTATGGTAGGTAAAATTGCTCCTTTGAAAGAACTGACACAATTGTGTCTGTATGCCAAGGTGTTTGTTTCTGAAAATACCATATTCTAGGTTGGGCAAGTTTCTTAGATCAGGGTTTATTCCTTTTCCAGCCCAGTTACAGGATAACAAATGCTGCATGAGACAGTATGATATTTTCACATGCATTTTTTTCAAAAGCTGAAGGTCCAACAGAGACCTAGATAGTATCACAGTTAATACTTTCTTCTGTTGCTAAACACTATGAGACCTTTTTCTAATGGTTTGGGAACATTAATTGGTATTACTATAAATAAAAATACCTAAATAAAACAGATACTTGCAGAGAAAGATAAGTACAATCCAGTTCTTACTCTGAAGACTTAACAAAAATAAATATGCTTAAGAATCTGTATGTTTGAAATCTTGTATTTGAGGTTTTCTCAGAAGTCATGTTTAAAGCTCTTCATGTTGAGATAGTTGTGAAAGGGGTATTTTACAAGACCTGAAGGTATTCTTTGAACAGACTTGAAAAGAAAGGGTACTTGATAAATTACTCTTGAGTAGTAGTTTGTTGCTGCTGAAGGGGAATGTTTCACCCCCACCAGGTGTTTCTACCCCTCCCTTGTGCCAGCAGGAGTAAGAACTGATCAGGTTGGAAACTAACATGAAAAAAAGATTGATCCAGCTGACTACATAACCACAGAGACACTAATTAGAATCTGACACAAAAGGATGTTCCTGGAGGTGGTGAAAAGGGTGGAACTTCCCCTTTTTATTTTGGCCAGATTAGCTAAATAGGACATTCTTGGTATTGTGCTCCCAAGTAGAATTGTTACCCTTACTTTGTGGAAAAAAATATTTCCTTTTTTCCTTTCTGTGTGATGGTTTAAGTCACAGAAGGAACGTGAAGGCATGACTATGATTAATAAAGCATCGTGAAACTCTGATATTTCAGTAAAGAGCTGCATTTTAATACTGTTTGTAATGTTCCTTATGATGAAGGATATTGTTATGTATGTGAAAACAGGCTGAACACTAAATGTGAACAAAATGGTTTGGTTTTTAGCTCCAAGAAATCTTCAGGAAAAAAAATGAGAAGAGAGAAAAAAGAGGAGATGAAGAAAAACGTGCAATGCTGGTAAGTAAAATCCAAAAAGCTGCATCTGGTAGTTTGTTTGGGTTTTTTTTTTTTCTTTTTTTTGATGTAGTACAAAATTATGTGTGTATATATTTCACTGGTCACTAAATTCATATTGTTAGAAGAATAGGCATAACTTCACATGTAGAAAAAAAGCAGTATTTAGCCTAAACTGTAGTTAGTGGAAAAAAAGAGTAAGTGTCTTATAGGAAGGAAAAATTAGTGCTTAAATACTGTAGTAGATGTTATGACAGTAGAATTGATTCCATTTGGAGCTTGGAAATCTAGGGAAAAGTGAGTAGTAATGAGCCAGTGTTACTGTCTCTAACAGTGAGAGATCTCAGGGGGAAGACCAAGTTCCACACTTGCTTTCAGAACTAGCTGAAGCTGTCCATGTAGACCTTCTGATCCTGCTGCTTGTTATCCACACAGTAGCTTTAAAATAGATTATGAAATGCTACAACTGAACTTAGATTTTAATATTCAAATTTAAATTCTTACTAAATAATTACTATGACCAATGAAAAATATATTAATCTGAATAATTTTTTGTGGAATATTGGGTACTCACATAATGTAAAATTTGCATTTTGTGCAAACAAATAAAAAGGTAAGTCACAAAGAAATGAGTCTGTGGTGGTTTGTCTGAGGAATGGCAGCAAAAACAGGTGCTTCTTTTACTGTTGGAAAGTAAATATCAGGGACAAATCTCTACCAAGCCGAGAGCAGAAAAAAAAAAACAAACCTATGTTCCTTTGCAATTTGCATGTTTATGGAAAAAATTCCCTATTATAAGAAATATTTTGACATATCAGCAGAGCTTCTCAGTGTCCATTATACTTTTGCCAACATCAATGCTCAGTCTCAGTTCTTTGTCCCTGAAACCACAGGAAGTATGATTTTCAAAAATTGTTACTTTTTAAACCTTCCTTGAGAAAAAAAGGACTTTTTTCTTCCCACCCAGAGAGACCTATCCTGCTCAGCTTTTCAAAACTGTAGGTCTGTTGTTGAATTTCTCAGAGAGTATTTATTTTGAACAAAGGAAACTTATACCTAAAGGAAGAGCTTTTGGAGGACGTAAAGATGGCAAAATGGCACATAAGCCCTGAGGGTAATCTCTAAAAACCTGTACTTCTCTTTTGAAAATTTGAAGAGGAAAACTGAAAATCAACCATTTTTTTTCTTCACTATCATATTGAAAACAAATAAACAAACAATAATAATAATATATATAAAGGTTTGCTTGTCTTAACCTATTCTGTTGTCTTTTTTTCCCCCTTCTTTTGTCTTCATTCTGACATGTGATACTTGGCTTGGCCCATTTTTGCTGTATGTCAGCGTCTTCAACTTTATGGATATCATACTCCTACTAACAGTGTATGTACTCTAATTATTTTCAATTGATGCAGTCTTCACCAGTGAGATGAAATAATATGCTATAAGAAAATCTATTGTATTTATCTTTTTCATTAAGTAAATTATTTCTGCTAATCAGTAAAAATGTGAGGAATCTTGACTTGCATAAAAGATTGCTGCATGCATGCTGAACAGGCAAGCCTATCAGGAGGAAAGGTTGCTCTCTATTTATATGAAATGAGGAAAGAGTATTTTTAAGGCAAAGTACAAATACATTTCAATAAACTGTAGACATATTTTTAATTAATGTGTGAAATTAAGTCATCCTGCATGAGTCATTTGATCCATCTCTTTCTTTCATTTTGTGTAGTGGGAATAATTAGTCAGTTGAATCCTTCATCTCTTTATTGCCCCCCAAAAAGAAACCTGAAGAGATACTTCACATACAGAACAAATACATAAGAACTTTCAGTGCTGAACTAGGCAAGGATTCCCTGTATTACTTAGGTGACAGTAAACCCTTTTACAATAATTTTTGAGGGCTGAAAAAGAGAAGCAGAAAGATCTTCTGAGGTTTCTAATATCTTCATCATGACCTTATTAATTTCTGGATCATGGCAGAAGTAAAACAGTTTTTAAAAAACAGACAGATTTTTTGTTTAAGTAGAAGAATTCATCTTCTTGGGGCATTATTGTGATATTCCAAGTGAGGGGATCAGATGCAGGAGAATTAGATGAGTTATGAAATTCCAGTTTTAAAATTTGTTTTGTTATATAATTATTCACAGAAATGCACAGATTTATTTCTTGTGAAGTTGGCACCTACAATTGGAGCAATGTGCAGGAAGGAAGTCTGTTGAATTAAAATGTGCAGTTGACATGATGTGGATACTGCAATGATGTGAGAAAAATGAAGTAGAATATGCAAGGCCTTATGATTCAATAGATTTCAGATCAGGCTTTACTGCAGCAAAACTTGCTGGACAGTGATTGACATATTCCCATGCTTTCTCCTGTTTCAAGCTGAAACCAATCTAGTTAGGTATTCTACTTATGTAATTTTCAGATTCAGTAAAAAAATCATCTTCTGGACTGAGCCATGTCCAAGCACTTTATCAAGATAATGCCCAGGTATGTGCCATGTCTTTTGCCCTCCTACTATCTGAATGGAGATCTCCATGCAAAGGAGACCCAGGTGTATAGGAATTCAGTAAATCCCTCATCTCCAAAAAATAGAACCCCAGATATTTTGAGGTTCTATTTCTTCTACTGAAACAAGAAGTGTAGCAGTCTTTTGTTTTCCTGGATGTCCTGAGAAGTTGAAGATACACAGGTTCCAAGGAGATGCAACCCTGAAATGTCTGGGATAGTCCAACATGCTGCCTCATGCACGAGGCCCTTCTCCTCACTTCATCTGACAAATCAGTTCTATTTTTTTAAAATGTGTTGAGGTCCATAGGCCATAAAAAGCATATGGTGATGTTTTAAATGAGTTAAATATTTTGGTATTTTCATTTGCGCAGGTTAATTCAAGTCATGTTCTGGTGCATACTGCATTTGTCTGAGACTGCTTTGGCATGTACTGCATGAGTGCTTTCACTGGCCAAATGCCAACCAGAACATGATAACTGTGATGTGATGCATGTAATGGAAATGAAATGTGCACAGCCAGAAGTACTAATTCAATTGACTGAAGTAACTCCAGTAAGAGAACAAATTCAGTGAATACTTAAAATAGATAATTATAGAATTGTATGCATAAGAGAATGTGGTGTTCATTCTCATGACAAGGTAAGTTTGATCATCAGACGTGGATAGTGTTTTCCTGATAAGTATGTTACATTTGAACTTACTAGGCCTGTTTTTGCCTTTCTTTGTTGGTGCAATGATGCCATCATAAATATTAGATTAAATTATTTTATATAACTAATTATATGGTGATATTTTTATTTTACCAATGAAAAAGAATTTATAAGTATATGAATTAATATGTTCTGGAAAACCAGAATTGATAGAAAAAAACACTGGCAAAATGCTGAGTTTAAATGGCCATTTTGATATGCACTTGTAGTAAATATTTTCACTTCTGCTTTCTTGAATTTATTTTGTTTGAGAAGATGAAGTCAGTGATACTTTCGGTGCAGCCAAGAACATTAGGGAAATAGCTGTAATAGACCAATGTTCCTTTCATTTACAAAGTGTCATGTAACTGGTAAAAATGTCACTGTTTAGAAGTAAGAGAACCAAGCCCTGATTTTGAAGATCAGCTAGAAAATATTTCAAAGTTCATAAATGGTTGTTCCGTTGTTTTTTGTTTTTCAAACAATTGTGCTTCTTGAAACTGCAGGTTCTTAAAACAGAAGGAGAGGACCTTGTCCCCAGGAGCTATTGGGATACTTTGAGACGTAGCACAAGCCAAGCGCTCTTTTCAGACCTTGCGGAGGTATAAAACAACCTCTCTGGTCTCTGCTCCATAAACAGACTGCTATTTTATTTCTTCTTTTCTGATTGCTTTCTTACATTATGCACCCTGTTTCTTCTTTTCCTTTTAATTACTTTTTTGTTTTAAACTTCAAAGTTCTCAGATCAAATGCATTTGGCTCTCTGCAATGTGATAATTGAAGGTTGTCTTTTCCAAGAAAAAGCAAAGTTACCTTTTGAAAGAGTTGGAAGATGAAGTCTTCTTCAGTCCTTCAGAAACATTTTCTAACACTAATAGTCATGGTAGTTCACAGTTAGAGAAGTAATTCAGGAAACCTTTGTCATTTAGGCATGGTCCAGTAAAATGACAACTTTACTGAGAGTTGCAGCACTTTCAGCTTTTAATCTTTATGTCTTTAATGTGCTTTTAATGTATATTATCAGAACCAAACTTCACAAAAAGTATAATGCAAAGATTGTTTTAATTATTGGAGAAAACCAGGAATGTTTTAAGGTAACCAAAACATTGGTCCATCTTTTGTAATATTACACAATCATTATAGAGGTCTAGAAATACTACTGATCTGTCAAATTAATTTCCATGATGCTTTAAATTCTAATAATTCTTGCTTCATGATCTGCTTCTAGAGAATTGAGTAACATATTTCTTTGTATTTATCATTTCAGAAGATCAAATGACTACATCGTTTATGCTTTTCTGTGCCCACACAGTGAGGGTGATGGCTCTGCTGGTAGTGGCATTAAGAACACAGAGCAACTCCCCACTGGCTCTGGTCTCAGAGTTCCGTGTTTCCTAAGCAGGATCATAATGAGAAAAGAACAAGAAACCAAAACTGATCTCCAGAGTAAAACAGTATTTTTCCTTGGTTTGCAAGCAATGTGTGCTTCACATTGAAAGTAATTAGTGTTTTGTCCCTGCTGTTCCTCTGCAGAAGCTATTGAATAACCTGAGGACTTCTATAGACTTATTTCTTATTTCAAGGCTTAATTTACTCATAGTCCCTTTATATCAGTCTGCTGTTCATTAATTTCCAGAGAGATTTTTCTTCTTTAGTGTTAATCTTCATACTCGTGGTTGTGTTTATAAATGCAGTCATAGCACTCTGTTTAAATTTATTTGAATTTTAATTATGGGCCAAAGAAAATAAGGTATTTGATTTTTCTTTCAAGGTAGAACCTGCATTTCCTTTTCTGTATTTCTCTCAGCTTGTGTTAATTTCCCCTTCAACAAAACAAAACGTAGTGTTACAGAGTTGAGTTTTACAACAATATTTATAGAAGTATCCATAGGAATAACATATACAGAGTAATCTTTAATAAAATAGTAGGCCCAGCCTATCTTCCCTTGCTTCTACACTCATGAGCTTCTGAATTGTTAATCCAGTTATGAATACTAATTTATTCCACCAAAGTTTAAAATCCAGAATATCAGTGCTCTTGTCTAGTCAGATAAGGAGACATAGAGGGGAGAGAAGGCTTCTAAATTCACCTATTATTCAAGAAGCTTGGGGCATTGCATTTTCTTAATGAAATGTCATCTTAATGTACAGTTAGATGGCATGAATTCAGTCCCAAGTATAGATGGACTTAAGTTTGGAAATCTCTACACACATTTAATTTGAAGAGAGAGGGGTTTTTATTATCCGATGCCTCAGACTAATATCTGCAACTATACTGTAATTGAAGCTTAATAGCAGCTATACTTAATAGGGATGTAAATTCTCAGTAAAGTGTATAAAAAGCCTGTGTGCTCACTTGTAAATCATTTTATGAAGAAAAATCATGTTCAGCATTTTCTCTGCAGACAATTTCCCACTTCTCGTTGTCATTATCTTTATCTTGCTTGGTTTGGGCCAGCTGGGTTTCATCCATATTTTTATCTCTCCCAGGCACTCTTGCATCTGAATAATATTATAGCTATTTGTAGTGACAAAGTGGCATAAAGCAAGGTGACACTGGAGTCTGTATTGTTCCATAGGCTTTTGAGAAGGCTATATGTAAGTTGAAAAGGAGAGTAAATAAGGTTTGTTGCTATGGGAATCAAAAGGTCTCTTTGGAGAGTAAAGTTATTTATTACAACTAGTTTTCTCTAGGACAGTGTATAATACTGGTTTTGTACTTGATAATTTGGCAATTCCACTGTCCTGTTGGAGTATTGCAGTTATCACTAAATTCAGTTTTGGAGTTTATTCTTAAATTCCTAAGTGAAATTGGAAACCATTAGGTTAGTTATCACTGTTGGAAAAATCAAGAGTTTTCAGTAAGAAAGAAATTATTAAATCAAATCATAATATACATACTTAATTATAGGAATATGTTGGTAAAAGTGGAATCAATGCTTACAAGCATTACCTACTTTTAGTCAACCCTTGTTAATCAAGAAATTGAAACTCATTTTGCAGAATACAAAATAAACAGATTTTATGCACTTCAGGCTAGAAAGTAGAAAGAAAAAGATATTGCCATTATGCAACAAGTCAATCAAGTGATTGAAACACTTGTCTTCAGTTTCTCTCTTTACCTGCATTTGTATTCCAGTTAATGTAAAGGTAAAGAGAAATGAGAAGGATTTTATTCTCATTTAAATGACTTATTTAAAAACATATTTGATCAAAATTGAGGCTCCTATTTGTATACTTGGAAACAGGTGAGGCAATTTAATTTGCACTGATCTAAAATAAAATTAATTTTATCATGAAAAACAAATAATAGCTTTAAATGATTAAAACTTCTGGTTGTATCCTTTACCATATAAAAGAGAATTTATTTAATGCTATCAGTGCAGAAGGAGCACAGGAATAGTGTTCAGTTGCCTGCAGTTCTTCAGAGAAGCACACTGGGTTGAGTTTCTGCAGTGAGGTTTTTGTTTGGGGTTTTTTCATTTAGTGAGGCCAGCCAAGTGGGAATTGTGAAAAGACTTACAGATTGTAGGTTTTTTTAAACGGTGCTTTAGATATGGGTGAATGCAACCTAAGTCTAAGGTTTTGAAATGTTTTTGCAAGATGAAAGGCTGTAATTTAACATTTGATATCTTTTCAGTGTACTTGAGGGAAATTGTTTGAATGTGCTCAGGGATTTAACTGCTTAAAAGACATAAGAAATCAGGGTATCTGCATTTCAGTATATTGTGTCCTGTAGTGGAGGATAACAATATTAAAAGACAAATAGTGATTACTTTTCTGAATTAGTTTGCTCACTTGAAGAGCAGAGCTGTCTTAATTGAAGGACATTAAATATCTCTACCTCTATATACACTATGTCATCTTATTTCTCCCTGGAGAAGAATATGAGAATAAAGAGGAAGCTAGAGTACATGAAATGCAATCTTGAGAATCCTAAACTGATTATACTAAAGAACAGAGAAGTCACTCTCATTTCTTTAGATTGGATGTTGAAAGGGATTTGTGTTTGTTACTGCCTTGTGTTTTCCCTTGTTGTTGATACATAAATACTCTTACTGAGTATAGCACTTTACGTTTCTTACAAACCAGTATGTAAATTTGAAAATTATTTAGTGTATTTTAGAGAATGTAGATATGAAATGCTTTTTCATGGTACATTGTGTATCATGATGTTGAACACATTGTTGCACATTGTTCAAAATTTTTTCCTGGTTTCTTCACTTAGAGTTTCTTTGTTACAAATTTATAGCCTCTTCAGTGAAGAAATAGAGTCAGACTTAAAGGACTCTTGAGTGTGGCTTGCAGTTTTATAGATGTAGATCTTTATAGAGCTGTATAAACAGCTTTCTGCACCTATGGTGGATCCCACAGGTTTATAATGTATTGTTATGGTGATAAATTATTACTGTTACATCTCCCAAATATTTGCTAGGTTTCTGTACTGTGCCTTGTTTTGTACTGTAACACTAGAGTCAGCAGCCACACTTCCTAATGGGTGGTAGCTTGCCTAGGAAGAGCAGAGACTGCTCTCCTACTCTGTGCTTTTCATAAAGTCTTTGAAAGAAAAAGAGCTTGGACAGGAGGTAATCCCTAAGCAGGTGCAGTAAGGAGACCAAACACATTGCTTTTTAAATTTCTAATGTTGGCAGAAGCATGTTAACACCAGGAGAACAGTGTCATGTTGGGCTGCTGTGGCTTATTTAAGAGCCTTATATTACTGAATTATTCTTCAGCTCTTCAGAGTACCAAGAGCATCTTTTTCAAAGTATAATCAATGCATATATGTAATAGTTAAGGGCAGTGAATATGTAGTAAAAAAGTGGAATATTATGCAATCATTATACACAAATGACAGTTACCTCTGTTTGGATTCCTGTTTACAAATGGTCAAAATTAGTTGGCTTTCTTTTCTAAATCTGGTTTTCAAAACCTTAGTTATTTATTAAGGAAAAAGTATTAGTACTTATTCAGAGATTCCAGTCCTGCACAGAGACCACAACCTAGTACATGAGGAACAGTCCTAAGAGAAGTAATCCAAATACTGCTTCATTATTTCAAAATATTTCCTAATTCTGTTGTTTTAAATGTGTTTGGGCAATAACATTTAAGATGTAGCTATCTACAACTTATAGAAAAGAATCATTTAAAATACACCTAACTGATGTGATTGTGGAACACAATCCCCTACTTACTTTTGAAATATGGAATAAGAGTATATGAACTACTGTATTTTAATTTATTTCTTTCTTCTTACTACTTTATATTATAATTTCTTAGTTTCATAGTAGAAGGAAAGTGAGATTGTGTACAAAGGAAGTTACATTTTATGGTTTACCTTAACTGATGAGATTTTTTTTTTCCTCACAAGTTTCTGGTTTTATTTTTCATACCTTTTCTCCCTTCATTGCAGCTTCCATTACATCATTCTGTTAGTTTAACTACTTTCTACTAAATGCAATTAACAGCTGCTGTTTTGTGTGAAAATTGCATGGCAAAATTATTGTAATGGATTGCAAGATTTAAAATCTTCTTAAAGATTGTAAACATGAAATACAAATAGAAAAGTCTATTATTCTATTATTTATATACAATTCTATTCTTTTAATAGAAAAGTCTATTATGATTGTAGGCGCTCACAGATTATACTTCTGTATCTGATCCAGTCATGGCCTTTAATTTTTTTTATTCTAATATTTAAGCGTGCTGATGATTATACAAGTTCACTGTCAGATACTACACTGCTGGTACACTTTTTTGGCAAGAAAGGAAAAGCAGAACTGAACTTTGAAGATTTTTATAGGTGAGTCTCAACTTCATTAATTCCTTATAAAAATATTTGTATAGTTTTTCTAATTAATGTGTACTATATTACTATACACATAGCTTATGTAGGTATGGTTTTATGTTTTGTGTTCCCTTTGTGTGTGTTATATACACAAAGAGAAAAATAAAACAATAAGTGGCCCAATAATAAAAAGTCCTCTTCCAGTGCTGCTGCAAATTTTAGTTACTTTGGGTTGGAAAGGTTATACCCCAGCCCTGTCCTTATTTAAGGACACAAACAGTAGAAATATAAAGTATGAGAATTTCTTCACATTTTGTTTGTGTTTTAGATTTATGGATAACCTGCAGACTGAGGTTCTAGAGATAGAATTCCTTTCCTACTCTAATGGGATGAACACCATCAGTGAGGAAGACTTTGCCCATATTCTCTTGAGGTATACAAATGTAGAAAATACATCAAGTTACCTGGAAAACATGCGTGGCAGTATTCCTGAAGAAAAGGTAATTGCTCAGCAGTGGACTCAGCATGCAGTCCCAGTGTCATTAACATGAAAACATAGCTTTGTTGGACTGAATTACTTAGCACCAGGATTTTATTTTGATCATAAACTGCATACCTAGTTTTTCAGATTACTTGCTGAACAAAATGTAGAAAAGTAAATAGCATGGAATTATATTTCATAGGATTTAGTTAGTAATATTGCTGAAGCTTAGATAGGACATAACCAATAGAACAGGTTAAATTGCAAAAACCATAAGACATTAAATATAAACATTTTCTAGCAATGAATGATCAAAAAACCCTCTCTTTCTCTCCCTTCCTTCCTTCCTTCCTTCCTTCCTTCCTTGCTCCCTCCCTCCCTCCCTCCCTCCCTCTGCCACTGCAGTAGCATTTCCTCAGAAATAACATCACATTTTATCTCATTGTTTCTTAGTTTTATTAGTGAATTAGTGCTTGTAATTTTTATTGGGTGTGTGGGTTTTTTAAAGACTGAAGAGACAGAAATTATAATAAAAATAGTAAATGTCAGGCAGTAGATAGTCCTTAATTTGTTTAACAACAAATGCATTGTCAGAAGTGTATCTGAGAGAAATGTAACACCAACTATACATCAGTGATAATCCATAGGATGTTAAAAGTAGCCCTTCAAACAAGAGATGTTTTGAATATACTTCTTCTGTTTGTCTTTACAGAAGATCAGATTAATTTGTCCTAGAAATCTAACTCTTTCAATAGCTATATCTTTCAATAGCATTGACAGCAGAACTTGCAAAGAAAAGTAATAAATCAGTTTGAACAGTTTGCTTAGGTTTTGTTTTTATTTGAGGCATGACATTTTAATTTCAGTCTCCACAGTAAGTAAGATCAGTCAACTGATAGAAGCACACTCCAAAAATTAACAGTTTTCTGTTCAGATATTTGGATAATCTGATTATTCCTGTGCTTGTACAGCAGTTAGGGCCACTGAATGTTAAATATAGCTGGGAAAGCAGGGCTGTCTCTTTTGACCAGATTGGGTGTCAGATGATGTGGTAAGATTCGGATCAGAGCTCCTGCTCAGTCACCCTTTCCAAGTTCCTGGTCTAGGCACTGAGGTGCTCAGATCAAACTGCTGTAAAATGTCTGTGCAGCTTTCAGTATTCAGAGCCAAGACAGAACTGCTATAACTGCATGGTTCCAGATGGAAGTCTAAGGAAAAAAAAAACCAAAAAACAGAAAACCACTGGCTTTGGGTCTTGTATAGAAACAATAATGTAAGTGTCATGTGGGAAACTGAAAAATAATGACAGTTGTAGTTATAGAGAAATACTTTGAATGTCAAAGGTGAAGTTAAGTACATATACTGACACTTTCTTTTGAACACATGTTAGTAGTCTTTGAAGTTCATGTCTAAGTCTTCCAAGGTCATAACAAGTATTCCACACTAGTTTCCTCTTCTTGGTCTCTGGTGAGACCAACAGTTAAGGAAAACCTCCATGCAGATAGCTTTGTCACTCAGTTAGGTATTTGCTTTTATGCTGTGATCTGGCAGTGTCCTGGCACTGGATGGGTGCCATACATTTGGGTATTTGAGGTATGTCATATGCTATGCCTGCATTAAGTGAAACAAGACATCGCTGTTTTTCATAACTTTGTATCGTTGGCTTGGTAAATGTGCTGTCACTACATCTCTTACGCTGGCCACAGGCTTTTAAGAATAGGACTCTTACTGCCATGGATGGGGTGTTCATATGTTGATTAAATGTTGTCACATTTTTTTGGCTCTTGTCATAGCATTATAATTTGAAAATTATAAAATTTGCTCTTTATTTCATGATAGTGATATGCTGCAATACTAATACTACTAACCAGAGGATTCCATTCAGTAGAAAAATTAGTCGAGAGTGTAAAGTAATGTGCTGTACTCTCACAATGGCAATGTTAACCTTTCATGGTGCTGTACAAAGAAGCCCCTAAAGCAGCATGATGATCTTTTGTCATATTTTAATAATGTTAAAATGTTCAGCTGGCATGCTGCCTGCTCACAGGATGTCTTCCTCCTTTTACTAACTAGATGCCAAGCAGTGATTCATGTAATCTGGCATCATGAATTACTACGGATATCAGGTCCTGAAGAAAGTCTGTGCATTTTTAGCAGCATTGGTACATTAATCTGAGTTTTCTTTGCTGTAGTAAAATAAAATCTGTCCTTCTAAATTGAAGTTATCTTCCTTTTTTTGTCATGGTTTAATCTCAGCCATTGACCAAGCCCCATGCAGCCATTTGTTCCCTCCCCCACCAGCAGGATCAGGGAGAGAATTGGAAGGGTAAAAGCCAGAAAACTGAGGGATGAGAAAGAGCAGTCTATTAGGAAAAGTCAAAAGTCACAAACAAGATTTTTGCAGTAGCCTGACCTCTTACACTTATTTTTTGCATTCAGAATTTTTACAGACAAATTGGTGCACATTAAGGATCTGTGAACCTAAAAGTGTCAACTCAGGACTGGGGTGGATGTTCTCTATGATTGCTGTTTTGCCATAGTACCTGAGGCTCCTGGCTGAGAAATGAAGTTTCACTGATCTAGGAATTTCACAAATGCGTGGCAGAGTTATCCCGGTCCCGCAGAGCTTTCAGTCTAAACACAGTGCAAGAACTTGAACTTGGGCACATAAACTAATAGTGTCAAATGCAATGTGTTGATAATAAAAAATTCAGGTTTTAAGATAAAAATTTATATAAGATGGTAGTTCTACTTGTGTATATGAGGGTTTCCTCCCAGTTGTGAAGGATCTGCTTGTTGAGGAAAGCAATTCATGATGGAGATGGGCCAAGCTCTCCAAAGAGTTTATAAATCTTAGCCAGGGGGTTAGGTAGGATCACTTAAGCAGGGGTTTACATCTCAGGTGTGTGGAGACCTATTAAATTCTTCCATTATAACAATATTATGCTGCTCTCCACATTTTCCAGAGTCCTTGCTGTTTCATATGGGTTAGCATCCAACCTCTGCCACCTCCTGGCACAAAACCTACACTTGCATGTTTCCTGTGTTCCACCATACTATAAAGACTGTGTATATGTTTGAGCAGAGACATAGATCAATGCTTTAGTTTGAACATAAAGGCTTACAGGTCTTACTATTGCCTTCAAGTATATTTTCAGATACAAGATAAAAGAATAAAAGGAAAAGGAAAAATAGCCAGGAATTATAGTTATAGGAGTCCAAGGTTTGATACACAATGCCATTCCATGTTCAGAATGGCTGAGACTGGGGGGAATTTGATATAGGCAATGGTCCTGGCTTAGTTCAAAGTCTCATTTCCAGATCTCTTTCAGAATTGATTTTGAGATAGCTTTTCAGATGTTTGGATCTCTAACTAAGATGAGAAAAGAGCAGAACCAATATTACAAGGAATGAAAATAAACCCTTTTAACAAGAACACTTTCAGTGAAGCTTTCACAGAAGATGGTCTGAAGTCTGGTCAAAATGCAATTGATTTTTTAAAAGCTGGACAAACCCTGCAGTACTTGCAAACCCTCATCTGAAGAGACTTGGGTGTCTAAATCTGGATATATGAAAATTTCACCCTCAAGTACAGGATTAAGATAGATCATAACGTATATTTATGGATCCATTTAATGTATTTATATGATCACATACACTCACATTTATATAATAGTGGCTTTCAGAAGTAAACATACTCCAATATTCATCTAAACCTAGAATTTTTATTCTCAGTATTGACTATCGTGTTGTAATAATCTTGGAATTCTTAAAAATTGCCCTCAGCAATGGAACGGTATTTTTGACTACTCTGGTGAGAATTGCTGTCTTGTTGCAGTCACAGAGAGGAAAGACATTTTGCATTCCGCAAGAAACTCCAGTTCTCTACTTGACTGACTTTTAGTAAAAATCTCTTTTCTTTTTATTAGGTCTGGTATCTCTTGTTAAATGAAGTTGACATATATAATTGCAAGGTTTGTTTATTCAGTTGTTACTACTACTGATAATTCTTACAGTGCATATTGTTCTCCTGTTTTTAGGGTATCACATTTGAAGAATTTAGATCATTTTTTCAATTCTTGAACAATCTAGAAGACTTCACAATTGCAATGCAAATGTATAATTTTGCAAGTCGTTCCATAGGTCAAGGTAAGTATCTGTATTTTTATAAAAATCCATTGATACCCATACAGAACATTGACAAAAATGCAATTTTTTTTATTGATTTCCTAGTTTGTAGTTTTAATGTTTCCAGTAAATGGCTAAAAATGGTAGGACTGCAGCTGTGAGAGGAAAAGGCTTGGTTATATCATAAGAGATATCATGTAAAGTTATATAAGTGCAGAATGGCTGTCCATCAGATCCTACAATACAAGGGTTAAGAGGCATTTGATGACACCAGTGAGACATCAGATTAAAGTAAACAAAAGCATTTCTTTACACTGTGAGCATCTGAAACTTGGCCTTCTGCAAAGGCTGTACAAGAAATCAGTGCCAGGCGGTCCAAGGAGAGATCAGACATATTTTTAACAAATCAGTAAGTGGGTACTTAAAGACCCAGGCATGTATGTACCTACTACAATCCATAATAAAACATCTGTGATGCCTGGGGAACACAAGGTGAGCAATATGCAAAGTGGTCAGACTTGTGTGCTCTCCTCAAGCAGCCTCTGCATGGGTCTGACCCCATAACACCAGTGTGCTCCTACCTCATGGCCTTACCAAGGGATTCTGTCATTTTCTCTGTGCTCTATTTCTTGGGTTGTGTTTTGTGTCAAATAAATAAATGGCATAAATGTAACATAGGTTTAAGTATAATATTATTTTCTAATTTTGTTTTTGCACACAGTACGGTATATGGACTGTTATCTTTTTTGTAAAATAATTGGCACAAATTAAGCAGTGTCATTTTATATCAGTTAAGAACTACTTGGTTTAGAACTGTGAAATTCAGTTCCTAATTTTCACTTTTTCATATTTTTGAGTATTTAAATGTGAAAACTCGAGTTAAAAGTTTAGTTATATTTCATAATATGCTGTTCACAAAGTACCCTTAAATTCACCTTTTTAAACTTTTTTCCTGGTGTTCTCCTTATGCAGATGAATTCAAGCGTGCTGTGTATGTAGCCACAGGTGTGAAGCTCTCACCACATTTGGTGAACACAGTGTTCAAGATTTTTGATGTCGACAGAGACGACCAGTTGAGTTATAAAGAATTTATTGGCATTATGAAGGACAGACTCAATCGAGGGTTTAGGGTAAGGAATCTAATTTTTATAGTTATCTCAGTGGACTCTGCTACTTACCACTACTTTAGCATCTGTAGCACCTGTAGATTTCAAACCAGCAGTGCCTGTGTTTAAAGACATACATTTATGACATATATTTTAAGAAATACATTTATACATTTATAGAAATACTGAAGCAATCTGTAAGATAAAATCCTTCTTAAATTCTTCTTTGCTGGTTTTTTATTAGAAAGCAATATTTAGAGGACATGATGTACCTTTATAATGTGCAAACCAAATAGGAGATGAGAAATCCCCTGTATACTGTCATTTCTTGTGTATTGTGTGATTAGCAGATTAGCATTAAGAATTTTAACAATGGCAGCAATTTTGTCTATATTCCATGCAGAGAAAAGAGAATTTGTCTCTCTCAAGCTCAGGAAGTTTAGTTAAAGGTCAGCTTTTCTAAAACATTATATGAAATACCAAATGCTCATTATGACAGTTGGAAAGAGTTGGAGCAGAAGGTAGTTTTAATTTTCAAATAAAAACTAGTGAAGTGGTGCTGAACAATGCTGTGTTCTTGTTCAGAGCTGATTTTAATAATTAAACCCTGTATCTAATATTCAATTATAATAAGCTAGAGGGCAGGAAATTACTTACAGTCATTTTTTGTCTTCTCATGACAGGTGTTAACATTTTAAACTAAATGTAAAGTGGCGTTCTAACTAACAACCTTATTACTTTATTGCTTAGACATAAATTTTAAACTGTATTATGATTCCTAAAGTCACATTCCAATATGTTATTTCTGTAATTTTAGTTAATTTTAGTTAGCTTCCTAAATGTAATTTTAGAACTTTCTGTGGTGTTGAGTCTAATAGTTTACATGTTATTTCTGTAATATTATGATTAAACAAAAAATGTGGATAACAACCCCTGTATTTGTAACAAACTTATTTCCATGTTGGTCCTCAATTCCTTTTATTATGGTGTGGTAATGATGATTGTTTCACAATTGTATCAAGCTGTTCAGCTGTATGTTTTAATTGTTTACTAATTGTAAATGTGCAGTGTATGTTAATTTAACCAGCAAACAGTCTGCTTACTAAGTAATTCTTGTATTTATTACATGTTCCTATTTCACAAAATGCATGACAAAAATCACATATAAGTTTAAGACTCTGTATCATCCGGCACTACTCAGTCTTATGTAGGTATCGTGCTTTTCCCTGAAGCACTATAAAATATTCCAGTGGACTGTAAAAGAACTACAAAGAACAGCCAGTATTCAGAAGAATAACACAGTCTTTCATTAATTATAATTCTAGTTTAAGTTAAATGTTAGACACCTGCTGGACTGGGACACAACTGTGATTTGGTCCTGTAATTCTGTTAAATACATTCACTTCACTAATCAGTAATATTCCAAGACAATTGCAATAGTAAACTAAAGAATTACAATTTCCAGTAAGTTTTCATAAGTGTCACACAAACCATTTTTTTCCAAGAGTGGATAATAGTAAAAATTCTGCAAAAATTTGCCTTCATAAAAAAAAATTCTGCAAAAATTTTGCCTTAATAAACATCCCCGACCCATTGCAGCCTAGGTTTAGAATAAAAAGTAGGAAATGCCAAAGAACCTTTTTCCCAGAACAAATTGGTGGAAAGTGTCATTAATTGCTTCCTATTGTTTGTATGTTAAAAGTTGCAGAGTATTTATTGTGTCCAAAACAAGTAAAACTTTGCCCTCTTGCTCCTACAATGTGGAGGGCTCAAATGTTGTCTTGTGCCAAATCAAAACTAACAAATTACTAACATTTTCTTTATCAATAACTGTGGCTTGAATCCATATGAAAATTTGGTCAATTTCATTACACAGATAAAAAATTGTAACAGCTTCAGTTTATTCAGTGTTTTGTAGCAACATAGAAATCTTGGCCATGAGAAATCTGAACCCCTTTATGAAGTATAAATGCCTGATTTTAAGTATTCTACAATTAATGTCTGCCAATTAATGTAGTGTCTGAGTATCTCTCTAAAAATATCCCAAAATAACAGTTTCAGTTGTGATCCCAAAATAACTGTTTCAGGCCTGTGATTTGAAGTACAATTTTACAATTAACATCTTATACTTAGAAATTCTACCTTTTTAAAAGTTGTTTCACTAATTAGGTTTGCCTAGAATCTTGAGGCCATTACAGGATTTGGTACCGGGACCATGTATTTTAGAAAAGGGCATTTTGTGGTTATACAGTCGGACTAAAGTGAACCTATTTAAGAGCAAAGAGTCACACAAGTCCAATGAAAATGCAGTTCTGAAACATCAGTCAATGTGTAGCTGGTTTGTCTTATTTAAAAGCTTAAAAACTTCAGGAGGGTCAGTTACTACCTCTTATAGGAACACAATAAATGTTCATTTTAATACAAACTTCAGATACGATTTTGGAAAAGTAAATGTCTTGAAGACTTTACCAAACGAACCTTCTCTTTTTCTGCAATTTTGTAGCACAACCTGAAACCTTGTTTTTGTTCTGGTAGTTTGATGCAAACTCATATGTAAAGCTGCCATCAAGTGGCCAGTCAGAGTATTGCCATAAAATTAAATGTTCAAACATGAAAAGCTTTTTTTTTTGCTTACTGTTTAGTTAAAATAATTATTTCCCTTTCTTTTTCAAATTTAAAAATATATAGGAAGATTTCCTTTCCTTTAAAAATTCCATTTTTAAACTGGAAGTACTGAAAATCAATGACTAAATGATAAACATTTTGCATAACACATATTGTACTGTACCTCCTAGCTATTTGTCAATTAAAGCCATTTTTTTGTATTTTCATGATACCGTTGTCTTATGCTTACCCCTGGCTGCCTTCACGTGTTGTCTGCATCTGCACACTTCTCCATCTTCTGCTCCACAGGGCTACAAACCTATACAGAGGTACACTACTTTCAAATCCTGCGTGAGGAAGGAGCTCTATAGCAGATAAATCACGGTATGTGTTGGCCACCAGTCTGAGTGTGCTGGCATGCCTGCAGGAATGGCTGAATGTTGAACTGTCACTGCTTTTGTTTCCTGTTCCAAAACTCAGGAATAGGTTATATGGCTGCAAGCAATGTAGTAGCTCAAGGCATCATGTTGTGTTTTGACTGAAGCAATAGAATTTTATCCTGGAGTTGGTAATGAGTGACTCACACTGTCACTGTTCTGTGAGCCAGCTGTGGTTTTGTATTGTGTTTGAAAGTAGAAAAGTATTTTTTCTTAGTTTCTGTTGCTGTTTTCTGTCTGTGCCATTACCTTTTTTTAAATAATTTCTCAGGTACCTATAGCTAATAAGTATTTACTAAGGAAGATTGTAAAGGCAGATTTTTCTGACTTTCAGTGACTTGATTATCCTTTGATTTATACTGCTACATTCTTGAAAGCAATCATGTATTTTTGCCTCAATTAATGCTGTACCAGCAATTTTGAAAAATTAGCTTTGTGTCCACACATAATCACCATGGCCCTTTTCACATATCCACTACATGAAAGCCCATCTGTACAGTTCAGTTGTATAGTGCAGATTTCAGTGTGGAAACTGGGGTGTGCATTTGCTGTAGCCGTGTTGTGAAACTGTTCGTCACAACAAACAGGAGGCATAGACACTGCACTAGTAGACATTTCTCCTCTTCCATAAAGGGTTTGTTCCTCTGCAATTTAAGGGGTTTTCCTTTCCATGTAAAGACTTTGCAGGAGTTGCTCTGAAGGCTGTTGGCCCCCAGATGTTTTTTTTACAGGGGGGAGGAGCAAAGAGCTGTACACCATGACAAGCAAGGCCCCATGGCCAGTGTCTGCTCTGAGTGACCCTATGAGGAGCCCAGCACATCTCCTGCTCCTGAGCCAGGGGGGTTTGACTTCATTCCCCTGCTGGCTTTAATTCTGAGGCACAATATTAAGCTGAGGCTTTTTGTTCAATACTATCCCCCAATACTGAAGCATTGTACGACTATGTGAGGGGCAGAAGAAGAAATTTGATGTTACCAGAGCATCTGGTTTCTCCATATTACTAATGGGAAGTGTAAATTACTAATAAAGTAGTTTAATTTTTTTAAAATTTAATGTTTCAGTAATCCAAGTCACTAGTCACATGAGAGGCAGTAATGGCTTTAGTTTAATCTTATGTAACTTTATATCTTTGAAGCTTTTGACTTTCAAAGATTCCTTTCTTCTTTTCTCATGTATTTTTAAAAATAGTTATTAGAAGTACTTTATCTTTTTGTCAAAACTCATATTGTAGTTTCATATTAAGTATTATTTAAACTCTAAACTTTTCAATATGTGGAACAGCTCTTAAAGGAAACTGGCAAAATGCTACATAGTCATGATGCTTCCCTAATAATTTCAGTGAAGGGTTTGTGACCAGGTGAAAGAAAATGCAGTGACACAAAGGAATTCAGTATCTAATCAACAAACCTAATAAAATTATTTTGGTGACAGGAAGAGAGACTGGTAAAAGCATCAAGTATACATATACATATGTATACATACATCAACACCTTGTCAGATTTAAATTCAGGCACTAATTTAATTAATTCATATGCTCAGATGATGTAAACTGGAAAAAAAATGTTTAGAAATGGAGATGTTGTTCATTCTGTATAAAGTCATTCTCAAAAAAAAAATTGAATTATAGTACATCTACACTACCCATTTGGAGAGAGAAGAAATCAGGTTAGTTTTCACAGCATGGACTTGGCTACAGTCAACCTCTCTGAGTTAATGCAGAAGCCTCTAGTTATTTACCCTGCTCTTCTTCCCACCTAGAGCTCCTGGATGTAACAAAAATTCTCATTGTATCCAAGCTTGCGTGAGTGGTAGGTCTGTATCAAATACCTGTTGCCTGTGCACTGAAGAATACAATGTAAGCCTTGTATACATAAAATTCTCTCTTCCCTGCTGACACATTAGTTTGCTACTGCTCTTCACTTGAGCAGCTGCTTCTTATCGCGAGTCAGAATCACAGAACTGTTAAGGTCAGAAAAGACCCCTGAGATCAAGCCCAGGCTGGTTACAGTGATGTTGGCTGGTGCAAAACGTTGCCTAACTCATAACATTTCTTCAGATTTGTTGTAAACTTTTGCTAATGGAAATGGAACCTTTAGCCAAGGCATGTGAAGTGATTTGGCAAAGTACTGTGGAGTAGAACAGAGATAGTTCTGTCTTTGCCATACATTGTGGAGTGAAAGTGGATTTTACATAATTCTAAAAATCATTATTTTCCATTTAGTTTATAATTTGAAAAGATAATAAAAATTGAATCATTGGAGATTTGAAAGGAACAATTTCAATAGGTAATTAAATTTCAGTCTGATGTCCAAAGAAGCACATAAATGTACATAAAACACAAAAATCAGCTGCAACTATATCCCACAGTTCAGTGCAGTACAAGTACTATTAATTTTACTTTTTTTCCAAATATAAATGTACAGCTCATTGTGCTTTTCTATGGTAAATGTAGAACTCTGGTGAAGGAGATTAAGATACTTGGCAGGCTTGCCATAGATTATACCCCACTGTGAATCTGCACTCTGACAAGCAATAAACAGCACATTGTGCTGCACATCACATATCTCTGAAATGCACTAATGCCATTACTCCAAAGAATGTTGTACCCTAATCATAAATAATGCAGATTTCTCCTTGGGGAGCAGCTGTACAAGCTGTGTGTGGTCCCTGCAGGGCACACAGCCTGACTGGGCATTGCAGGTACTGCTTTGCATACACTGCAGGGAGAACTAAAAAACACCTTTGTGGAGAACTGCCTGGCACAGCACAGAGGAGAGCTCTGCTTTGAATGTCCTTTGATAGAATTATCTAGGAAATTTCTAACAAAGCCCTTCAAAGTTAATTTCCAAAAAGGGATGCTAGAGACCAACTTATGAAGGGATTCAAGTCCATCTAAAGTACTGTTTGCTAAATGTGCTCAGTAACTGTAATAGATACTTAGGCCATAACTGTGATTTTATTGACCACTGAAGTAATGAAAGTAATTACTACATCACAAATGTAAATCTAGAAGTTAATTTCTATGTACTAGTAATTTTCTGAGAAACTTAAGATTATTTTAAATTGAAATAATTGATTTTTAGGTGTTCTGAATATTGTGGGTTTTCAAAATTTCTGATTACAAGCTTTTAGGAGGAAATGGTTAATAGTTGAAAATAGTACCTTGAGAGTGAGCAAGGAAGGAAATTTATTTTGAAGAAGACATTAAAAGCTGAAGCATGGATTCAGAACCTCATTTCTAGCCATTTCAACTATAAATTGCTTTCTTCTGTAAACATTTCATCCTGTCAAGTGAAATTAAATTTTTCATGTAGCTAATCTTTAAAGTTTTTTATTTCTATAGTTTCCTAGTACACAGCAACTTAATACATCTACTGTAAAAGACAGTTTTAAAACATTGAAAGAGGCTGTTGCTTAGTGTTTGAAGAGACTTTTGCTTACCTCTTCTCTAAAGCAGAGAGGTGAGAAGTGTATGATTAGGCACATCTTCCTGACTCATCTTACAAAAGTAACTGGAAATTGCAGAACTTGGGCTTTTGATCCTAAACCTGACAAGAAGCTTAAAAATGTACCTAGATACAGTGGGAGGAGAAGGTTCCAGTGAAACATGAAAGCATTGCAGAACATGTGGACAAGCTGTTCCTTCTGGGGATTTGGTACACTGAGAGTAAATACAACAACAGTGCATACATGAGAAATAAGTAGATGAATAGTCAGTGTATTTCAGCATTTCTTTTAATGACTTTCATGAACATTTCTCCAAACTTGTTTCATAAAATAAAAAATAAATGCATATCTTAAAGCACAGGTTAATAAACTGAATAGGCTTTTGTTAAATAATGCACTACAATATGCAAGTTATGCATTTTTTCATTAGACTGACTATAAATATCAGCTAAATTATGCATTCATGTAAGTATGGTTTCCAATATTTCATTTAATGTCATCATATACTACTGTGGATTAAATTGTGTGCTGAATATTTACAACTTCTTTATAAACTTCTGTGCTTTTTAACTAAACAAGATGAGGGATAAGAATAAACAGATGTAAGCTTCAGTGTCCAGTGGTGGATTTTCATGTACTGCAGTGTGGCAATTTCTTTAACATCTTCACTCAGTTCAACCAAAACAGGGTATTGGACAGTCTCACCATGTGTCCTGGTTTTAGCTCAGAGTGAGTTAATTTTCTTCCTAGTGTCTGCTACAGTGCTGTGTTTTAAATACAGGATGGGAATACTGTTGATGACACACTGATGTCCTGGTTGCTGTGAGCAGTGCTTACACAGAGTCAAGGACTTCTCAGCTCTCTCCCCACCCCGGCTGCGCGGAGGCTGGGGGTGCACAAGGAGTTGGGAGGGGACACAGCCAGGACAGCTGACCCCAGCTGGCCCAGGGGATACTCCACACCATGTGGCATATGCTCAGCATATAAACTAGGAGGAAAGTGGTTTGTTTCCCCAGTTGCTCTAATTCTTAGTATCTCTCCGTCTACTTTTTACACTTACTATGAAAATAGACTTGTGGAGTTAGGAGCAGTGGAAGAAATCATGAGATCCAGTGATAAATACAGAGAGCATAGAGCACAGAGCAGTGAATCTCCCAGGCCAGCCCTTGGCCAGCTTTCCTCTCCATTCAGTGGATAACTATTCATGTTGCAGAACTAAAATTAAGGATTAAGTAAATCTAATATACAGAAGCTTTCATGTCATCTGCCCATATGGTATTTGGCTTTTAGTGCCTCAGTTTAATGAACATCAATAATTTTCTGTGCTTTTTGTTTGGGGTCATAGATGAACTTTTTAGTACAGTGTCAATACAAAGAAGCAAGGAACAAAACTAGAGAGGGAGCTGGGCATACCTGAATTAAGAGGAAATATTTTCTTGCATCTTTTAATATAAATAGGCTATTGGTTGAATGCTAATTGTGTGCTGTGAGGTGAGGATGCCTTTTGAATACTTAACCTATGTACGGATTTATAACTCTCATTTTACAGACATAAGCCTGATCTCCCACTATTTTAATATTAAAAAAACTATCTAGTATGTATCAGTCTGAGTAAAACTTAAGGTAGAATTAGTGAATTTAGTGGATGGTATCTTTTTTCCAATGGTATGTTTTTCACTTTTCCCAGGAGACTCCGAAGTATGGTTGGAAGGAATATTACTCTTGTGTGATGACTGTAACCAGTGAGCATCTCAGAGATCTGTGGAAGCAATTTCGGAGACGAGATATGCTGAGATAAAGGAAGAAAGCAGGATTGTCTGCACTGGCTAAAATTATTTATTCCCATGAATTCTTAATGAAGAACAAACTAACCCAGGTGAATTGCGAATCTTCCAGCTGCAGTAGAAAACACAGAACTTCTTTTCCACTTAGTGTAGTGATCATCAACTCTTAAAACTGCTGTTCAGTATGGATTTCATTTAATTGATGAATTAACTATGCCATGTGAGTGGGCAAAGCCTTCTTTTGTAAGAACACCTTTTGAATATTATTTTTTATTATTTTGAGATAAATTTGTGATTTAAAAGGAAACAAAAATAAGTCTTACACCTGGGCAGGAAGATGTTTGGCAGTGAAGAGAAACCGCCTGCATCAGCTTAGACTGTGAATTCACTTTCAGATGAGCACTATTAAAAGTTTGTGCTAAACTGAAAGTGAGACTACATTAAGTAGCATAACAATTACACGTGAGTTGAATGGACAAATTAAAGTCTTAGAGGCTGTTATTTTACAAGGAGTAAGCTGTTATGGTTATAATGTGAATGATAGGTATTTACCTAGGAAAAGTACTGTATGAACTACAATGTTCAGATTCTCCAAGTCTTATTATTGTGTTTATGAATTTATCCTTTTAAAAAATAGTACAGATTTTAAGATGTCTTACAAGCAGTGTGTCAAAGACAAGTCAAAATGTTCAAATTCATGTAGCACACACTTTGTAATATTTATTATAAATTTTATTGCCATACACTGGTATGTTTCAGGTAGAGTACAAATTCATGTGTTTATTGTGAATAGTGCACTTTTAATGAAGTGGCACTGAATAGGAGTTATAGTTGTCTAATTTGCTACTCTGGAATGCCGTATCTGAAAACTAGATAAATAGCTTGTGTTTGTGTCAAAGCAAAAACAAAACAAAACATGAATGCATGCACAGTACAGAACAACACTAAGTAGTATTATTTGAATATTACTTGTTTGCTATTCAGCAGCATATTTCCTTACTCCCTATTAACATTATTGTTAGGTAGTAGGAATTAAATCCACACAAACAAGAACAAATATTTTTTACACCCTTCTTGAAGAGATTTACTGGATATTGAATAAATCTGTATCTGTTTAGGAAAAGACTGTGCCATGACATGATTCCAGCTGAATACGCACACACTTGAACTAATGTCAACAAATTGTCATCAGAAGCAGAAACATTTGGTAATCAGACAATCAAAACAGAACTAAAAGAATGCTTTTAGATATCTTACTACTCCAAATCATGAAATAAAACTTTTTACAGTTTTATTCAGTGCACATGTTGCTCAATTATCATCTTAAATGTCATGTGAATAGATGTATGGTGTCTGTGTAACAGTGCATCTAAGTTTTGAAATGCTTAATTTATAGTAACATATATTTCTGGTAGAAAAACCAAAACAAAATGAGAAGGAAGCTTTTTTTAAGAAATTCCACACTGAGAATTGTTAAAAAAATAAATTGCTAAGTGTGGCTTTTATCTGAAAAAAAAAAAACAAACCCCACCGCAAAACCCAGGCCAGTTCAGAAAACTATCAAAGGATGATACTTCAGTTAATATTTCATGATAAATAAATTCAAAATTTCCACCTTGGTGTCCTTAAACTATTGACAGCAAGAAATAAATCAAATAAATTGAGATAAAGGTTCTTGAACTGACACAGCAGAACAGAGGTAAGCTGCAGTCCCTGAGTGATCACTTGGGGAATCAGCTGTATTCAGTGTATTGTCTCGGTACACAGAACTGTCTCACTGCTTCTTGTCAGCACATGCAAAACCCAGTTTGCTACTTCAGTGGCAAAGGACAAAGAAGAGAGAAGAAAACATTGGGAGTCACCGAAGGGGTTCCCATCCTTCCTTTTCATTCATGGCTGTCACTCACAGTGACCTCCCCTTGGAGGAAGCAGCTGTACCATCATCATTTTGCTGCTCCACTGCCCTAGGCAATAGTGCACTTTGCTTTTATGGCTGGCTTGAAGCAATTTTTGCATTTTTCTATAAATTTCTTATCTATAGTTACTTAATATTAAATAGAATGTGAAAGTGTCAGATTAGTTTCTAAGACTATTTTTCTTCATGTTTAATAAAATTATTTAATATAAATATGAATATATACATATAATATTCTTGTTCATTTCAAAATAAATGCACTTAAAAATAATTTTCTTTGCCGTGTATATAATTCAAATTCTTTTGTCACAATCTTTTTTTTAATTTGGTAACATGAATGTGTAAGCACTTTGAATTAGAGCATCTTGCCATGACAAAAAAATAGACTTGTTTTCTTCTTTTAGTCATCTCTTTAGATAGCTTTGCTTTTCAGCCAGAGAATTCTGCATAGAAGACCTGAAAATGCAAGGACAGGTGAAAGCAAGGCACAGTAATGGCATATGCCATCTGCTCTAGAGGCACCCCTTGGATAAGCAACAGTCACTGGGCTCAGTAAAACCTTATTAAAAATCAGCAAAAATCCTGGCAGCACAGGAGATGTGTATGCTGCAACTAAATTGTTTGAAAAGTTGCATAAATTAAGGCTTTGTTAAAAAGCAGCTCTTGTTGTCCTCTGTAAGTTGAGAAAACTGTAATAATGCAAGTGAATATTCAGAGGGTGCTTAGGAACTGCCCGCAGATGCCCAGACCAGCTCAGATAAAGTGAGAACCAGCAACCTCAGCTTTGGGTTCCCTTGTGGTGCTAACCAACTTCTGCCTGAGCTGTGGGGAGCCCCTGGCTCCTGGCAGAATATCCTACAGTGTAGGCTGCTCCCTGATAATCTGCTGGTGCTTCAGATCCCAGTGGCAGCAAGATCCCTCCTTGCACATTTTAGCAATAAGTGGATACAGACTCCTTCCACTGTAGATTGTCACTTTATATGACACAGAACATTATCAGCCTGAAGGGGAAAAAACCCAAAGTATTGAACAGTAACTTTCAGCACTTTGTTAGTCACACTGCCTGCTTTCTGTAGTTATTTGATCTCTTCTTTTCCACCTAAATATCAGGATACAAATGTTTTGAAGTAAAGGGGGGAAAAATGATACAGAAATTTTTCACTTTGATGTGACATGGTGTGATATGATGATCATACCTAATGATGTGTCTTGCCCTCTTGTCCCACTGAGGATATAATCACGACAGTGTCTAGGAAAAGAACTTGAGACTCATTCTTGCAAAAGGAAAAGAATCAGAGCAAAAAATCACTATTCAGAAATGGATCTGGAACTAATTTGTAGCAATACCAAGTTTGAATTCCCCTTAAAAACAAGCCAAAACTTACATGAATATTTTTAATATGTGTGAGGTCTGAATGCACAGTATTTTTCCCTATATCTGAGAATCCATGAAAGCATTTGGCACCCTGAAGCTGTCAGCAGATACTGTCCTTGGATATATTGCATTTATTTTCTTACACATACAATTTAATACAAGGATGTGCTTTAATCTTGAATGGGTAATGTTCATTTTCACCACTAATTTGACTTAAAAATTCCTCCCACAGATGAACATTACAATTAGCTAGTAGTATTCTCTGAAAATACTAGTATCCACTTCAATTTTTTTTATTAAAATACATAATTTTGTACATACAAATACTCATAGAAAAAAGCAATATATTACCTGTGGGGTTTTTTAACTCTAACCCTGATTCAGAAGCTATAACCTAGATTCAAAAGAGTATGACCCTGTAAGAATAAACTTTCAGGTATTCTAATCTCTGCAATAAAATACTGAGTCTGAAGCTAGTTACCTAGGCTTTAAAAAAAAATGTCCTTGCACTTGGAAACTGTGTGACAAAACCCACTGCAGGGAGCAAACACTGGAATCCAGAAGTCTCTGCTGTTTCAGGCAGATTCTGTAAGAGGCTGCTGAACCATTTACTTTCTCTGTGCTGTGGCCCTTGCAGCATTTTTTGTATCATTTAATGAAGACAGTGGACAAGCTACCAACACTGGCTTGCAGGCTGGCAGGTAAAACATTTCCATGGGAAGTGGAGAGAAAGAAAATGTGGCTGTTGCTGCATTTTGTGCAGACGTACTCTGAGGATCCCAGCAACAAAAAGCACGAACATAGGCAGGTATTTCATCCCTGGACAACAGCCAGACCTAGATGTATGACCAAGGCATGGAGTGGCTCAAATCTGTCAAGACATTTCAGGGCATAAGCTCTAAAAGTAAGTTTTAAACCACTCTGTTGGGAAAAAGGGCGGGGGAAGAAAAAGGAGGTTCTCAGATTGGTAGTTTTAAATTTAGATGTCTGCTTTTAGTGTCAACCATTAAACATAACTTCTACTCCACAGGGCAGAAAGCACTAGAGTGGGGCACACAGCATGGGATAAGGTGTCTCACATATTTCTTGAAGGGTTTTTTACTGCAGGGGTTTTGATTTTTGTCTAAGCAGAGACCTGCTTTAGGGCACTGTTTAAATCTCCATTGCACGGGCACTAGCACTGATTGGAACTGATTTAGCTTTTCCCAATGTTTCCCATCTTAAGAGACAAAAGGAAAAGCAGGAAGGAAAGGAAAATTCCCAGATGAATGCATCAGGGGAAAAAAATAAAACAATGCAATGAAAAAATTACCACTGAAAGTGACAGAAGAGTGGGTGGATAATAAGCCCAAATAGGACTTGAAAAAACTTCCCTGAAGGCAGACTCTGACAAATACAGTATTGTATCAATACAGAGGTAGAAATCAAGAAATCTAAAGAAGGAATTGGAAAGGAGCTAAGTGTGCTTCTCCTGTGGAGAACAAGGAAAATTGCCACAAAAAAATTAAGAAAAAAAATCATACAACAACAGTTAGGTTTGGATATCAAAACAGTTGCAAATAATTAAGTACTAAGCCGGGTTGAGAGGGCAAGCAAGGAATTGAACACATTTGGGCCAGCCCTTCAATGAAAGTACATTTGACAGCTAGCCTGAGACTAGGGAGGCTCCTTAACTGCTGGTTTTCATGTAGCCAGGAGCTATCAACTATACACAGATGGTCCCAAACTCCAGCTGGGATACAAGATGCATTTTGCTGGTAATATCTTACGCCAGAAATGTGGAGATTTCCTGTGTGTGGTAAGTGTGGTCCCACACCCAAACATTCTGGAGAGATGCAAGCAGCACAGTCACTGTCAGGAAGGCCAGGAGCATCCCTGCAGGGCTGTTGGTTCACTCGGTGAGTGCTGTGTGCCTGTCAGTCTGTCTGTGTATTCCTGCTTCTAGCTGCTGCTCTGTGTATTGCACTTGTGTAGGAGTAAATATGTGTTTTCCTGTCCTACTCTTCCTCCTCCTCCACTGAATACATGGGACCTGGCGGGGGAGGAAGTATTCCATCGTATCAGATTGCTTACAGAGAAGAGAAGAGCCCTCTCTTGACTTGCAAAGGAGTAGTTTTTAATTAGGACTGCATGCTAAGCATGTCAAGATGCCTTCCTCAGAAAGAGGCAGAGTTTTCACTCCCCATTCTGTACCTGAACCCAGCTGGAATCTACCAGTCAGAGCAAATGGAAGGAGGGAGTGCCTGCTTCACTAATGTCATCTGATCAAGGACCTTATCACGTGGAATGACAAAGGGAGGAAGCCAAACCTAGAGATGTACAATGTACCAGCAGGGAGGAGGATGCCCAGCCCCAGAGCTATGGGTGGTGATCCCTTTCTTTAACATCCCTTTGCACAGCTGGGTACAGAGAAATGTCAGATGCAGCAATGTTAGAAATACCCAAATGTATGCCAGGAGAGACACATTTTAAAAAATCTACCAGCAATCATTTGCATATACCTTGCCTGAGGGGAAAGCCTGAGCAGCACCACTTATGACAAGAACATTTTATTTCAATTTGCCAAACACTCAAGCTGCCTCCTCAAACCCCAGCTTCCTTCAGCCCAACTCCTGACAAGAAAATTACCTTCATTTCCTCTCTTTTTCTTTCGAACATTTCATACAAGTAGCAATAAGCTGTGTCCCAAGTAACCTCTCTCACTGCAGAGACAAAGCCCAAGTACACTGATTTGGGCAACCTCTCCATTAATGGACTATCCCAAGACTTACTTCTGCCATAACACAATTGAATATGCTTGTTCTTGAGTTTTTCTGCTGTTACCTAAAATTTTTGCACAGAGGGAGGGAGAGGAGGAAAAGCACATCAGAAAAGAGGCCTTGTGACCCAGCTGGAGAGTGATGAGAGCTATGAAAGGAATAGAAAGTAACTATGGATATGAAAAGGAGCTAGAGAGCCCATGTCCATGGGGAAAAGACAGAAGAACAGGAGAGAAGGATTCTTTACAGCTCTCTGACCAAAGGATGCTCCAAGGTAATTCAGAGTATTAGTCAGGGCAAGATTTTTTGTTCCATCTAAATTAAAGTGAAATTTGCCTGTTTATTTCACTAATTTTGAACCAGATAACCATGATTTTGGAGCTATGGTAAAGCATACACTATAGTAATTATTCATGTAATCACTAGCATATGAAATAAGAGAATTCTGATTACTGTGAAAGTGAGCAGTGAGCAGAGGGTGGTAGTGGCCATGGAAAAGATAGAATGCTGAACTACACAAGCCCATTTCCATGAGGCGATAATGAAAAGCTTCTGAACAGAATTTGTATGATATAATTTAAGGCCTTTGTAATACATCATCTTTTTATTCCCACACTCCTGGCAAACTGCCACCTCTCTATATGCATAATATTCTATAATAACTATGACTCCAAAGAATAAATTACTATGTTATAAAGTTTTCTCTAGTGTTTACTGTGTTTCCCTGGCATGTGTTGTTAATAAGCCCTGTGTCACATACAGCATTTTAATATGGTTTACAGGAGAAATCTTTTCATAGCCCCTAAGGCGATGCAAAACCTACTTCACCCTTACATACACAGCATCTAGCTGCAAACTTCTGAAGGTACAGACATGTCTCCCTGGAAACACAGGATACAACAGATGCATTATCCTTGGTACCTGAGAGAGGTCACTGTCACGTATTTCCAAATAAGTGCAAAAAGCCATCAAATGAATTTAATTGCCTTCATTTCTTTTAACTTTTGCCAGCTGAGCATGGGGCTTGCCTTCAGGCAGTGGTAATCTTACTCCTTCTGCTTTTAAAATCTATGTTGAATAATTAC